ACATTTTTAATATAAAGTGGCATATTTTCAATGTTTGATTTTAGAATTATTCAAAAGTAATCAGATAAGATGACATTTTTATGATGTAATGGATTATGTAAACAACAACAATTGCCAATGTAGTTTATGTAGCTCTCATAATAAGGATGTGGGCTTCACTTTATAACAGAAGACCCTCTCCTTCAGTTTAGTGATGGCTGACATGTCTGCTGTTGCTGCTCAGCAGTTTGGGGTATGCCGTCCCGAGGGAGCGTCCGTGTCGGATGACCACCAGCTCCATCTGACACTGGTCGACGTTGACCAGCACTGTGGTGCTCCGCTCTGTGTTCATGAGGAAGACGATGGTGAAGAGCGCCATCTCAAACTCAGGACTGGTCCCGATGAAGGCGCTGCCGACAGGCTTCACCAGACCGTGCCAGCTGAACTGGAGGTTCAGGACGTGGTCATCATGATCGGGCTGTGGAAAGATACACACAAACCCTACATTAGCTCAATTTGTGAAGAGTTTTTAGAATTTTAGAACTTGAGTTTCTTTCTGATGTGTTGAGTATGATTTAAGATAAGATAAGATAAGAAGTACTTTATTGATCCCAATTTGGGACATTTTCTAAATTTGGTCAGACAGTCAGTCTGACCAAAGTCAGTAAGGTTACTTCTTATTTTCAGGTTATTTAACAGTTTCATCTACGGAGGCTCTGGGGGAGTTTCTTTTTTGTTTTGTTTGTATGTAGCAACTGCATTTCGTTTTGCAACCGCATGTTGTACAATTCATTGAACCTTACAGTATAGGAATAAAAAAGAGACAACAGGAAATGTTGCTACAGAAATAAATGCATCTCTTTTGTCTGATGAACCGCTGCACTCACTAAGTCATGATCCCTGGCCTTGTATCCTTTGTAGTCCAAGTGCGTGCTTTTTTCTTGCAAGTAGAACTGGACCCAGTTGTGGAAACCAATGATTTCTGATCCAGATTTAGTCTCTCCAACAAACACATGCTCGAATCCACAGGAATCCAGGCTGGTGAATGTTTTGAAATAGAGACACAGAACAGAAGATACATTTCAAAACAATGACATAACTTTTTCACAATCGTAGTAAATCCCTTGAGATTTTATAATAAATTCAACAAATTGAGGTTATGATCTGCTGATGTTTGTGCAACTCACGCTGAGTTTCTCTTTCTGTGGTAGAGGTTGAACCAGATCAAGCGAAGCTGATTTTTAAAGATCCTCAGGTTAGAGTTGGACTGTCCTTTGGTCACCAGGTACCGATGGGCTCGCTGTGGACAAATCACAATTATGACATAAACATCTCAGGTAAAATACTTTCTCACAATACAGATAGATCAAATAAACTAAATGGGAGAGACAGGCTAAAAAACAAGTTGCATTGAGATGTGTTCCCAAATAAAATCATGTATTACTCCATAATATGCTTTTTTAACATCAATCTTTGAATAACAGGTACAAAAATGTATGTTTTCAGACTTTTCTATAATATCTTGTTAAACCAGAGGCGTCTTTATCTGTTTTAAAAGTATACTAAATATTGAATAAACTTCAATACTTGTTGAAAATTATATTCTGTGTATGCAATATAAACATTTGCTGAAACCCACTGAAAAAGTAGTTTGAAGTATATTGAAACAAGATTTAGAAACAATACGTAATACACTTATACAAACAGCACTTAGCTACTTAACATTACATTAGAGTTTACATTTTACTTCAATATCTACTTATTTATTTTTACTGTAAGCACTCTGCCTTTTCTTAAAATATGCTCTTTGATAACCTTTTATTTTTGCGGTTTGTATTACACTTTGTTAAATGTTTCCCTCTTTGATTAAACCTGTACTGTACAAAGTCAAAAGAGATAGTAAATAAGTATTTAGCTGCAAACTGTACTGTGTATGTGAAAAAGCGTAATAAACAATTAAAAAAGCTACGTAAAAAAAGTGTTATTGTAATCTGCATATAGACTTAAATCCTGATCCCGCCATCAGGTCCATCTAACAAACATGGATTTCTCTGAAACAGAAAAACTACTGCATGTCTTCAATGTTTCCACTAATCCCCTCCTCAGACCCTCTGAGGCCAACACAGCATTCCTCAGCTGCACAGATGTTTCTGATATTTTTTTCTCCCTAACATCCTGAACTAATGTGTCCAGTGCTGCAGTGAGGCTGGAAAAAAAACACAAAACTTTGGAAAACAACAAACTAGAAACAGTCATTAAGGGAGCAAAAAAGAGTGAGCATTCGTTATATTCATGATCTTTCTACTCTGAAAAGACATCTCGGCTCAAAACAAACACACGTAAGGAAGGAGGTGTTGTGCAATAGAAACAGCCAGTGGTGGAAGATACTTTACTCTATCAAAAGTACGCAAATAATTGGCATCAAAAGGAACTGAATGTTCCAAATCATCAAGTACCAAATAGAGTACCAAATTATATTATTATTGATGCATTAATGTGTCCAACACAGCTGGTAAAAGTGGCACTAACTTCGATTGTGTTGTATACAGTAGTTCTGCGAGATATCATGTCAATGTTTATTATTAGTTGTTTTGTATTGGCTCTTTAAATGTAGTAAAGTAGCATAGCATAAAATGAAAATACATACCTGCAAATTGTACTTAGGAAAGGGCCTACAGTACTTGAGTGGATGCTCCTGACTATATTACACCACTGGAAACAGCCCTGTTGAAACATGGCTTACTAAATAAAGCTGGTTGCAACACGTCTTAATACCTTCATGACTTCAGTGTTTAGGACGGCATCCAGGAAGAGATTCATCTCAGTCTGCTCCTCTGTTGTGACTCGCTCAGCCACGCCTGTGGACCGCTCATAGTTGTCCAGGAGTTTCATGAGGCCTGCAGGGAACATACATCACATTTATCTCAGTTAGGTCTGCAATGAGCTGCATGTTTATGCCCAGAATGAGAGGGAAATATCCTGTGTGTTGCAGAGGGACTTACGGGTGAAGGTTGTGATGTTCTGCAGCTTGATCTCATTAACGTTGGAGAAGAGAGGCCGTGAGGCTCGGTCCGTCACAACATGGCTTCCCTGGGTTACATAATTGGCTCTACCCTGGACAGTTTGAACACAAAAGATATCTTTGTAAAAACAGAATTAAGGTTTTGCTTGAATAAGAACATGCTCCATACCTGAACAGAGATTGTGTAGTCTGTGGCAGGGGTCATGCGATTCACATCCAAAGTCCACAGCTCATTGAAGATATTGGATAGTTCCTGGTTTATAGCTGGTCTGTTGCAATAATTTGAGAAGGAAAAAATATGTAGCAATAAGTAAACTAAAAAAAACACATAAAGCATGAGAAATTCTCAAATTGACTACTGTACCTTGATGCATCCAGTCCACTGAGAAACACAGCAAGAAGGGCAAGGACTCCACAGAACCTGAACATCAGAAACCCAAAACATTCATCCTAAATAGTAAATACATAAACAGAAATAAAACCAAACTCTTACTCCGAATCTAGTTTATTGTCTAACATTAAAGAAAAAACACTATTCTGATCTGTTGATGTTCAGTCATAAAAGACATAAAGTGCAACAATGAAGAATAACTGAAATTCTACAGGGTTAAAATTAATTTTCAGTTTAGTGTTTGGACAGAAAATGAAAAACAAACCTTGCAGCCATGATGCTTTTTTCTCGGTTCACTCCTTCAGCTCGAGCTGCAGTAAAGTTCAGTCTCTTCTGCTTCAGTCCTGTCCCAACCCTCAACACATCCTGAAGGGGAGGCACCTTATTATACATCCATGGGAGGCACCGTGTCCACTGATTGCGCATGGGCACTTTGGAACAAACTCCTCCAGATGTTCACAGGAGTTGTATTATACAGCCACCAGAGGGCGACCTGTCTTATTGATCTGATGCACTTATACCAAATGTGCTGTTCTTTAAAATGTATATATTTCCATGTTTCCAAAATTAAATTAAATGAGTAAATGTGTTAGTGTGTCAAGGTCAGTACTCATGTATTCTTTTAGAAAATCTGTGTGAGTGAATGTTAGTCACCAAATAAATTATAGGTCAAGAAAGTGGGCACCATTTTAATTTAGAATTACAATATAGGGACAAAGCCATGCCATTCAATGTCAGATATAATCCGTGTAGCAATTGTTTTTCTTTCATAACAGAAAAGTTACAAAATGTTCAATTGACATAGGAGCAAGGATCGGGGCGGAAATCTCGGAAGTTAATGTAAAGTGTAGTGGATGTTGAGACGGGCTTCTATTTATAATTAGTTGTAGGCCCCAGGCCTTCTAAAAATAATCAGATGTAAATAAGATACAAGCAGATACTGTAGTTCTACTTCCAGATCAGCACCTCATCACAACCCTCAAGTAGATCTACTCTTCATCTCTGCTGTACACACTTCACTATTTGATTGACGATGTGAAGGTCTTCATCTCCACTTATACATATTTTTTAAGGGCAGTATAATTAAGACTGAGAAGGACTTTGCTTGTTATTCAATGTAATAATGGTTTACGTACTGATACTCATGCTAACATTTAATTATGGTGCATGGCACTCTTTCAATATGGTATTTTTCAAATCTTAAATAATAATTGCCGTTACCTGTTGGCTGTGGTGCTTAACTTTTCTTCCTGGTCTCTCAAATATTCTTGTGTTGCAGTTCGATAAAAATCAGTCAGCATGATCAAAGTTGAGATATAATTTAAATACACACAAAGAGAGCCGTTGATAAAAAGCCTTTAAACAGTCATGTTTTTTCATCATTTAGCAGTGAAATCAGCTTTCCCATAATCTCTTGTTTGTTAAACCCAAATCCAAACCGATTTAAATGATTTTATTGATCTTAGAAATGGATGAACTTAAAAAAAACAACAACTATATATATACACACAACTTCTCGTGGATGGTCGAGGGTTGCATTAAAACATTATCTGAAATAAAAAGGACATCCAAATCAACTTTTCTGAAAATAACTGTCAACAAACAGGGTTCCATTTAAATCAATTTATGGTAAAAAAACAATAAAATAAACAAAAAGCTCTTACATAAATGTGTTGAATGTTATTACCATGCAATGTTACTCATAGCCTTTGTACTGTACGATATGTATTGGTGCAAAAAGATTTAGAATATTACTTTGGAGTGAAAACCTGTAAAATGTTCAACGTAGGATAACATATGTGAACATTCCCACGTAAATAGCAGGGTTTAGTTCTGAAGAAAACATAGCAGCTGTTTTAGAGTTATTACTTTACACCACCTTCTAAAAATGAGTAAAATCGTCTCAGCACATCCCTTCAGGAGGCAGATTACAAGACATATATTAAAATCTATATTGGCATATTTAAGATGTCTTTTATCCTGCTGGTTGACACTTCTATCATAAATATAAACGGTGCCAGTACACAACTGAGTAGAAAATATCTCCAGAAACCAGCTGGCAGGCAGCGGTGATGCCCTAAATGTTCCCTCTGACGGAGACAGAGTTCAGGAGTGAAAGGACTGTAGGCTGCCACAAAACCGTCGTTTGAAACTGAAAAGGAGGAGACACTGTAATACTTTAGGCTCATCTTTGAATGTAACACTAAAATGAAATGTTGGAGCAATCTTGGAGTTTGTTGAGCCAAGTCTGTGAGTAGTGGGGAGGGGTTGGCCCAGAGTTTCATTCTCAGCAGGACCAGAGCTCGGGGTGCCGACTGCCTCACGCCATGGAGTCCTCGTCTGTTACGCTGGGGTTCGGTGAATTGGAAGCCTCTTTGAAGAATTCATCGTCTTTTAGCATGCTCTGGATAAGGGGACATTACAGAGAATACAATATTTAGCTTGTGAAACAGTGGTATCAGTGAGTACAATGTGCCATTGGTCCTGGGCCATGAGGAAATTCTCACCGTCAGGTTTTGAATACCCTCAGAGAAAGCTCCGATCTGTCTCACAGTTCCCTCAGAGTCCTCCATCTGTGAAACAAGAAGCCGCCAAACTCAATAAACCGAGACCTCAAAACTTCTACGTAGTAAATATCTTATTTAAATTCATAACCTCCCAAACATTATATGAATTGTATAAAAGACAACCCCTGAAAATCTGAGCATGAATAATAATTAGGGATGAAAGTATTACAGCATTTCCTATAGTTTGTATCAAGTTAGTTTCATATTTAAGCAGGTTCAAACTGATCACCTAGTTGAATGCCTTATTTCTCTGAGGTCTGAAATACTTACCAATGCAAGTTGTATATAACACATTTATCAACAAGGGAGGCAGAAGATCAATAAAGGAAGTGGCTTAAGAAGTTTTGACCGGGCAATTTGTTTGAATGTTGTGATTTTTGGGAAATTAGGCATTAGCTTGATGAAACTTGAATAAAGTGTTGACAGCTGTGATTATGATAGCCGATCACTACATTATTAAGGGTATACGATCATCAGTAAACAGACAGAAGAACAAGCTCACCTGTTCTAGTCTGTCGAGGTCGTCCTCGTAGATTTGGAGCTCATAGCCTTTCTGAAAGCTTCGTCCCTTTGGCATCTGCACATCCATCGGACACACGTACTCCTCGTTCTCTTCGTGCTTTTTCTTCCTCAGACTGCCAAAGTTACCAAATGACATTTTCCTTGGCTGGTATGAACAAAGAGAGCAAAGAGAAAGAAATACACTTCATCAGTTTCACATGGCTACATTTACAGTAGATATCCAAACAGGAATGTGCATATCCCTCAGGGTTACCTTACAAAGCAAATCTTAAAACGTTCAATAACTAAATGCTAATACTGTTTTTGTGACTATACAATTTCAGTGAAATGTAAACACATTTTTAAAGGTCTAATAATTTACATTTATTTAGAGTATATCTAGTATTTCAGGTTTAGAGTTTAAAGAGTCAGTATGTCTGCGTTCTAGTCTGTTAGGTATTAATTCAGATACTCTTGGTAACCCTTGTAACAAACCAAGTAATAGAAGTTCTTTCAGTAATATTTCTATCCATCTATCCAATGTCTGTCCATCAGAAGTCTTGCTTTACCTTGACCTTAGTGGTGGCAGTCAGCAGAGTGTAGTCTGGGTTTTCAAGACACTCCTGTTTGAGCTGCTGGGCCTCGGAGCCGATGAGCAGGTTGAAGTGTGTGGCGAGGTGGCGGCGCAGCAGCGTCTTGTTGGGGGGGATGTTCAGCAGCAGAGCCATGGTCTCCACGTTAAAGCGCGGCTCCAGGACCTGAGGGTGAGCACATGTGTTAGAGGAGGTTTGAATACTTTCAGGTTTCCCAGAAAAAGTGACTGCCAGAGTGTCTCACCATCAGGCCTCCGTGCACTCCGCTGCCTCTCAGGTTGGGAGCGTATTCAGCCAGGTCCGCAGAGCGCAGCCACTCCATCACCCTGTGGTTGGTCCACTGGGAGATCTCTGCTGGAGAAATATTGTTCTGTGGGCACAAAGCACAGAAAGAGGATGAAAAAAAAGAAATGTTCACGTGTAGATGTGCATTATAAAATGAGTGTGGGTTATTTCAAACAGCAGAAAAGGTTGCTAAATTCTCAGGTGATTGTATCCACCTCGTCAGATGGCCTTCGACGCAAGCAGTTTGGCTCGTAGTTGTTGAGTCGGAGGACCTGGATGGCTCTCTTGATGCTGAGGTGATGCAGGACACTCCCCACTTTCAGAGAAAGCACGTCATCCTGAGGAGCAAAGTAAGACACCAATGACTTATTGTGAAATGGTAAAGATGGTTGAAGAAATACATTAAAAACACAACAGACTTCTGCAATAACAATAAGCATTCCTAGGCAAAGAAGCCTCAAATTGAACAGATAAGGTCACTGTGGTGTGACTTCAGGTCTGTCTCAAATATGGAGGGTAAGACCAGGTCCACTTGAGTGGAGCTCATCAGAACCTGTATGCAATAATCCTAATGCGAGATGGCACTGGAGTCGTCGGACCTCTTTCCCCGCGGCGTCTGTGGAGGCAGCGTGTGTCTCTCTAACACTCACCACTGTCATGTAGTGCAGCATGCGACCGTCCACCCTCCCCTCGTCAAACTGGGTCTTATACTGAGGCAGACCGATGTCATCCAGCCATCCTGAGAAAGAGCAAAGTGTCAGAAGGAGAATGTCAAGTTGACGGTCAAATGTAATTAAAAGTAACATGGGTGAAGAAGAAAAACCAACAAAGCAGAAGGGTGTTTAAAACCGGGAGCTGGCAGCTAGTACTCACTGGTCACCCAGTTGTAGTCCAGCTTTCCTTTATTATTCTCCTCCTCTGAGCCGAGGGCCTGCAGAGCCAGCTGCAGCTTCTTTTTGTGCAGCGGGTGTTTGATGCCCAGCTCCTAGAATCGACACGAAGCCAAGTATTACACTGAGATCCCCGAGGTACTACGTGATGCAGAAGGATCAATAACAAAAAGACTTTGTCTGCCTGCCTGCTTGGCTGGACTTATTGAATTGTTCTGCAGCAGCTCACCCTCTCCAGGTCGTGCTGTGAGGCCTGCAGCAGCGTCTGTCCAGAGGAGATCCACACTCGAGCCATGTTCACATAGAGACCGAGCCCCTGATCCTGCAGCCAGTCGCACACCTGATCCTTCGACCAGCGCGCAAAGGGAGCATCAACCTCACTAAGGAGAAGAAAGAGAAAAGTCATAATGGTGACAGGTGCGCATACTTATAGAGTTTAAAAAAAGGCAACACATACACATTTGCATTGGAAGTATAAATGTAATGTTTTTAAATATGATTCTTTTTAAATATGTTATTCTATAATGAAGCAACTGTCATGTAACCCAATTTCCCCCCTGGATTAATGAAGTATTCTGATTGATTCTGAAGGTTAGTTGTAGTCCCAACAAACACTGCTTCCTGAAAAATCCTCACATGATCTCTGAGTTGTGTTGTACACCAGAGATTCTCATCATTCAGACCGAATGCACACACTTACTTGGGTTTCTGGAGGTCCCGAGACCATCCCAGCCTGGGTCCCGCTGAGGCTCGCACTCCGCCTCTCTTAAAGTCTCCCTCTGGTAGGTTGTCATCCAGGTTAAATGTGGTAGACTGACTCCTTTTTAGCCTTAAAGAAAATATGGTATTGAATATACAGTATATCAAAACATCCTTTCGATGCTATAGAATATGCTCATAGTGATAAACCATATTTGCACATTGTAAATATTTCTAGGTGAATCTGAAAGTGTAAACGTTTATTTCCTTTATTCTAAATGCATTAGAAGTACTAGAAATAAATAGTAACTAATTTACTATTTTTTAGAGCTAGAAATTATCATGCAATTTTCTACTCACTTCCCAAAGAGTTTCTTTATTCCTTTGGCTTTTTTCCTGCCCTCAGGGGTCGTGGAGAGTGTGTTGGTGCTGTCGCTGTTAGCCGACCTCTGTGGCAGCCCGGCCAGGTCCAGATGGTCGGTGCCCGGTCGCTCCGTTTCAGCTGTACAAACAAATGCCCACAGAAAAGAATCAGCATCATGAGCGTTATGGTGGGAGAAAAGAAGCTGCTGCACAGGGTCAGGGAAGAGACCCAGAAAACACTCAGACACATGATGTCTCAGACAGAATGAGGGGTCATGGCAGTGGGGAGAAATACCCTCTCTAGTAAGCATGCATCAGACACTGCTGATTCCTGTGTAAAACTGGAAGAAACAGCCTTGTTTTATTAGATAAAAAAGGAGGCTCACTAGTAGTTTTAGATTTTTAGCGGGAGGCTTTCAAGATCCAAATAAATCATTTGATTGGATTATCTGGATCTTGAAGTATAGTTGTGTTTGGGGAAGGGTTTGACAGAAACAAATCCATGCAGGCACACAGGCAAATGAACAACAGACTGTCTGTATGTTGGACATTTGTGCAACAATGGGTTGGGACAGGGGTGTGGCTGTTGAAGCGCTGAAACGTGATATGATAAAAAGATGTCAGCTGAACGGATGAAGTTAGAAAAGACAAAGGTGTTCAACAATAGGAGATCTTTTGAAGTTTCCTTTGTTTTCTTGAGACCCTACAATGACCTGGGGTCTATACTGTACCTAGCATAGGGGCACTTGCGCTCCGGCTGCGGTCTTCATGTGTAACAAAACACACACAAGACCCCACAGGGTCCAACAGAGAAAGAACAAGACAAAGGGCAGACATTATGAATGAAATAAGACCAGGAGTGGAGAGGTGGAACAAACGCAGACATACATGTGTACAGTACACACAATAAAAGCACAAACACAGACCGAAGGAAATCCAACGCAGAAACCAACTTCCATAATTAAACGGGGACCACAGTTTGTGTGGGCTGCAAATTATGGTCCTGGTCCATAAGAGTATATTTCATGGGTGTGGCTTCGGAAAACACAAAAATCGTCCATGGTGAAAAAAAACCTCCAAGAAAATCTCACTTTCTAGTCGGGCTGCAACTAAAACTATTTTCATTTATCTGTAAATTGTTTTGTTTTGTATTTGTTTGGTCTATGAAATATCAGAAAAGATGTTGATAACAACCCAAGATAACAACCCAAGATAAAGTCTTTGAATGGTCTTGTTTTGACCACAACTGCGAAGATATTATTCAGTTTACTGTCAGAGAGGGGGTAAAGAAACCTGAACATGTTTGCATTAAATGATCAACTCTAAAGAAATACTGCAAACAATTATTAAAATAGTTGGTGATTAGTTAAATAGTTCACATCCATTTAACTCATCATCTAGTAAACTGCTAATTCATTGCACAGCTGCTAACTCATGTGGTTTGCTCTCACCAAGGTTAGGAGTACTGCCTGTCTTCTTGCCCCCGCGGAGCTTGAAGAAGCCCTTTCCAAAGGACGAGCGAGCCTTTCTGGAGCCGAAGCTCTCGTCCTCTGTGGAGGCCGGCAGGGTCGCAGAGGAACCCACAGAGGAACCCACAGGAGGCTTCCCACTCATCTTACTGATCCCTTCACTAGCATTCTGAGAGGACAAAAACAATACTCCTATATCACTTTTTCATACATACTATCCCACAAGTATCAGGTATAATATGCTAATCTTGCAGACTAATATTTGCCTAAAGAATAAAATATTGTTACTTTCACTGTAAAGAAACAGAGTTAAGGATGTAGACACTGCACCGAAGCTGTAAATTAACATCGATAATTTTTTTGGTCCATACAGTGGTCAAAATGTCTTGTTTTTCAGGCCAAAACCCAAAGACATTAAGATCAATGTTTTATAAAACAAAGAGAATTAGATAATCTCCACCTTTGAGAGGCTGAAAAATTGAAATTCAATTTTTGCTTGAAATATAACTTTAATAATTTATAGATTCTAAAAAATAGTTAGTGAATATTCTGTTGATCAACTTATCAGTCAAGATATGCTCTAGACAGCACAGAAAATGTGGGATACTGCGAAGGCTATAAACTCTATGGAGCATGTTTAATGCATGCATACAAACAGTATGAGCCAAATAGAGAGAATGATTTTCAACAAAGAGACATCTTGGTGTAGCAGAATGAGACTAATATTATTTGTTACAAACAGTTTTCTGAGACGTCATGGTATGCCGTGATGTCTTTGGTAAGGTTGACTGAACAAGACTCTTTTAATCGAACAGGTTTCCCGGTTCTAAATGTGTAAAGTTTACCTTTTCATTATTGCTCCTTTCCATCTGATCCTGGCTGCCCTTCTTGATGGGATCCTGGCAGCTGAAACAGACAGAGAGGAGATAGTGAGCTTGTCTCCTGAGCAGCGTGGAGCTCATGAGAAGCAGCAGCAGGATGTGAACTGCTGTTACACACATTCTGCTTGTGCAAGTTAAAGAACGCGGCCGAAATAAATCCTTACAGTGTATACCAGTAGGACTTCAGGAAAGGCCACTCAGCAGCACTCTTTTACATATTGAAGTGAAAGTGGTATACAAACATTACAAATAAAGCATTTTCGTCACACCAGTAATTGTTCTCAGATGTATGTAAAAGATATTCATGAAAAGTTGAATACCTGTTAAATTATTATTAAATAAAGTTTCATGTTGAACTAAAAGAAAATCTGTAATTTTCCAAACAGCTGTATGTTTTCAGGTGTTTGAGATAAAAGGTGTTGATGGTGCCAGGAAACTATAAAAGAGCCAGAAGACATGACATGTTGAAGTCATTGTGACACGTTTCCTGGTTAATTTCCCCAAACCAAATGATGATGAGCCACTTGGTGTCCCTGACTAAACTTAAAAACCCTGAGACATAATTGAAACCCTGAAATGCCAAGGATCTTTTTTTTATTTTCGATATCCCTTAAAAATGTTGACATTTAAAGACTGGAGTGCCACAAATGATCAGCTGCTGATAACTTAACAAGATCTACTTTATCTACTATACAAAAACCTAAACAAGCCAAATTAAATGGACTTGGAGTAAATCACTGCATTTGAACGGGGATACAGAATTCTTCATATTTCACCTTTCAGCATCTGTTGGTGCCGACTCTGACACTCGTTCTGGATCTGAAGGGCTGGGAGAGGGTGAAGGCTCTTCAGTCTGACCATTAAGCATCTCCAACTAAGCACACATCAGAGCAAGGAAATACATTTTTTAAATATCCAAGTTTGCACCGTCTGAAAACATTAAGTTGCATATTCTCCCGCGGCAGTCTAAATCTGCACACAGGCTTGGAGAACTGACAGGAGAGGTTATTCAATTAATTGGATGTCAGACCCTTCAACACTCATTACACAAGTGTGAAATGTGCTTGAGCTATTACAGTTTTACTGAAAACTTACAAAAAAAGACTACAGCAAGACTCATTAGAAATACATTAAATGGATAAAACAAACTACAGTGATTTTAGGTTTCTTAAATCTCTTAGTCTACATTTTTGAATCCCTGACATTGCTTGTGATATTATGTTTTAATGCAACTCCTTTGCAATAATATTTCTATTGAAAGCGTTTCATGCTCACATTATGCAACACAAACCTCATCTGGGCTCCTCCTCTTCAGTTCAACATCTAATACGTCATACTTCTCCGACTCGGCAGACATCGGGATGTTTAGGAAGAACTCGTTGAATCCATCGCCATTACCCTCGAAATACTCGTTATCTTTGCCTTTCTCTGCAGAGGACGATAAATGAGATGAATATTTATAAATCAGCTGTTTCATCTAGCAATAAACAAACCACTTAAGACAAAACGTTTATCCGAGTAGACAAACTTCATCTATTGTTTCTAGGGAGATCTTTAAAGACCTCAAATTCAATTTACATAACATGATTCGAAGAGAGTTGAATGATTGAGTGTATGAGCAAAAAGCAGGTTCAGGGCAACATTTATCTCAGACATTAGATAATGTTTTATTTACTCCAACAGAAGAGTCATCTCACCTTTCTTCCCTTGCACTGACATCACCATTTCTTGAACTTTCTTATACCGCAGCAGCGACTGCTTTAGTTCATCAATCTTACGATCCTGCAAAAAGGAGAGACAATCAAACAGTTAAACTCAGCGCAGGGTTCCTATGTATTTTCCATTTAAAGAATAATACAACACAACGTTTGCATATAACTTTATTTTCCCCATTGGTAACCCTTAGCTTAGCAGGTTTTATTTCGGGATCGTCACGCCAGCCCTCTGTAAACTTGCATTACCCAGTGTGAACATTCACTCCACACTCCTACGCTGAAAGTGGACGATGTTCTACTGTCCAACATCTTGTACTTGGGGCAGAGCCGTTTAGCAGGCTTTGACGTAAAGGCGTACAGACAGCTCTGTCTGTGTGTGCGTTTGGTCACATGCCGAACTTATTGCCTTGCTTTTGAAAAAAGAAAAGAAAATCAAGCTTCTTGGTTTGGCATAGTGTGGTAATAAACATTGTAGCTCCTCTGGCTGACTGCTCTTGCCACGAAAACCTCTCTGCTTCTATATTTTTTTTAAATACTGAATTTTATATTTCAGAAGACAAAGAATTATGACATTTGATTTGAAACAAATATTTTTCCATAATCTTTTTTCATACTTCAGTGAGGCAGGTGTTTTAGAAAGAGAGATAGAAAACTTGATTTGATACCTTCTCTTCATTCGCTGCCATCAACGACTCGACTGCCTTTTTCATTCTCTGCACTTCCACATCTAGTGAGGAAAGGAAATGATTACAGACAAAGAACTGTAGCAGTGACTGTGTGTAGTTTGAGGAGGATACGAAGGGTAAACTGCAGGATTTAACACATTAAGACATAACATGCTGCAACATTACTGAACGTCATTCCAGGAACATCACAGCCACTTTCTTGGTCTTTTAAATGTTCAGATTCATTGACCATCTTGTGTGAGCAGGGTTCTTTCACTTGGGTAGAACATTTTCAATTTCCAGAACAAACACTCTGTGATCAGTCTTCCCTCAACTCTAGCAATCCTGGGGATACTAATTATTATTCAAGCCTCACCCACTGGTTTATAATCACTAAATGCATACAGTATGTCAATCTGATCTCTAAGCAAACTGGCATATGCTGGTCAATGTGTTTAAAGATTTGTAAAATATTTATATCTATCTGACATCTCTCTCTTATAGCGGCCATTTCTAATGACCTAGACAAGGGGTCTTTTAGGGTGTGTTCAGAGTCACTGCAGGAGGACCACAAAATTATTGTTTGATAATGGTATAAGTATGTTTAACTCAAATTTGAATATGTGTGAAAATACACATAAACAGAAGTATGAATCAAACATATAAGCAAAGGTAAAATTGTTGATATTCTAAAGGCGGTACGGTTACCCATGAATCCCCCAGCAATCACATGAGCTAGCTAACCTATGGTAAAACAGGCACCTTTCCTAATGGCAAACTAGTGGCTAAATATTATTTTAATGTAGGTCGTCCTACATGAAAAGGCACATGCAGTTAAAAATGGGGTCTATTCTTTGTTTATGTATTAGCTAAGGGCTCCTTGGCCTGTAAAACATTCAAGACCTCTGATTGAGACTAGAGAAGTGAACTGTACTGTCACGTTAATAAACTCTATAAACTTGAAATTGTTCTACATAAGTGAAAGTTCACTGACGACGGGGAAGGCACAGATATGTAGACAGACAGAGATAATGTGACACAACACTGAACATGACAACTTCACAGGTTAGCAGAGCACACACTGGCTGTTGGTGTGAGCGGGGGGGGAGGGGGAGATTATTGTTGGACGACATGAGGCGGGAGGATGAGTGAGCAGCCTGAATGGTTATGACAAACACAATTCATTCCTCATTCCTGTTTTAAACACAAAGCAGACATTCCTTGTTGCCGGTCCAGGACATGAACACACAGCTTTGGGTGACCTCAGTGCTCGGATCAAAGTCATAATGTTGACAATAGTTGAGCAGATTGGTGCTCCATGGTTTGGGTATTAGCACTCCACTGGGTTATAATGGACAAGCTGAGTTTGGGTGGCTCATGCTCGTTCATGCAAACAGGGGTTGAGATAGGTGCAAGAATAAAGTACAATAATAAACACAAGCATAACCCCCTTACGTTTTTCTTTCAGCCTCTTTCTAAGAGTTTCATCTGGATGAGAGACTAAACAGGACAAAGAATGATGAAACAAAATCGGATTTGTTGCAGATCTTAATAAGCTAAACCTACTGCTTTGCTAATTATACACAGATATTAAAGGTCCCCTATTATACTGTTTTTCATCAATATATTATAGGACTCAGATATAAACAATACATGTCTCTGAAGTGTTTGGCTTGAAATACCAAACAGATCATGCATTGTAGCATCCCATAATCCCCTCTATTTCAGCCCCGTTTCAAAAGTGCTGATTCTCTGTTTTTTATTTTAGATGAAAATAAGGAGCCACCCCCCACGCCTCTCAGAGATATTTGGTTAAAAAGAACACAATGGTGCTCTAGGAGGAGATTCAGGTGATAAGGGGGGGGGGTGTTACCTTGGTTGGTGATTGGCTAATGGTTGCACAACCCAAAAAATTGTTATGACATCATAAAGTGGCCAAAATCTGATCAACTCATTTTCAGACAGGTTTTTATAAAAATGGATCAGGACAAAAAGTGAGCGAATCTTTTTAACTGAAACTTTCAGAATCTCTTTACACAGAGGGGACACATGTTGATGTATAAAAGACATGAAAAAGGGGATTTTGTATAATAGGTGACCTTTAAGACTTAATCATATGACAAAGTTGAACATGAGTTTAAACATCACGCATCCTCAGTGAGGCTTGTGATTCTGTCCCACCTCTCTCTGTGGGGTCGGAGCTGCTCGAGGCGATGGCTTTGAAACCTGTCTCGTCCTGTAGTCGCCTCATTTCTCCGTCTCTGCCCTCCAGCTGCCTCCTCAGTATGGCTAGCTCCTCCTGTCCAACAGAGGACAACAGTGAGGGCCATTCCTTCACACAGACACAGCCTCCCCCACCCCCAACTCCACACTACAAACAAACCACAACACAGAGGATCACAGACGCTGACATGGCACACCTGCTCTTGTGTGAGGTAAGAGGGCTGGAGTAATAACACAAACGGGAGGGAAAACTGGAGATTTTAAAAACAAAAATAATGTTTAAGTGAGCACAACAGGAATCAAGCATAGGGACAGACACATTCAACTGTAAATAGGTTTTAAGATAGACACAAAACCAGGAAAGAAATTGGTAAGAAAATGCAAAGAAAGATAAAAAAAAGACACAGGAAGACGGAACGCTGCCAACTCTTGGAAAATCCAAATCAAAGCATACCTGTGGTTTAAACAAATGAGAATGTTTGCTTTAAGTGGTGTCTTGTAGACACAGAGCTATAAAAAGTGTTCAGACTACATTTGACTTTTACATTCTACTGTGCTGCGTGGTTTAGTAAATAAAGTGACTTCACTGTTTGCAAAAAGTGATGCAATTTTGCCTAAAATGGTACTGCTGCAAACCAAGTTTTGTGATTTTGTCCCTCAAAAGTAAAAAACAGAAGAGCCAAAGGGAGAGGTCAAAAACCATAATCATACAGCAAGCAAAACAGCCATCCTGAGAAAAGCAAACCTTCATGGCCTGGACTTTGTGCTCCTTCCTCTGTTTCTCAAACTGCATCTGGCCCATTTTGATTTTCAGGCTAGAAAGCTTGGCCATTAGCAACTAGCATCAGAGAGACAAACCACGGAAGAGAGAGAAAATAGAGATGCAAGATGTGAAAGATGGAAAGAAGGTCAAGAAGATGGAATGACGAAGAATCAACCAAAGATATTTACAAAGCACAATGAAAACAAAGACTGCCGACCATCAGAGTGAAAGCTTAAAGAGCAGGTTTACGCTTTGTGGGCAAGTCCAAAAGCCTGTTTAAACAATCAGTCATCGAACACCCTCACATCTTCAACAGGGATGTTATCCTTGAGTCAAATGTTGTCAAAACAATCCTAAATTTAGAGTATTGAAAACAGCCACCAGAATCTCGGTTAAAATCTCAGATTTGAACAAAGAAACTGAGGTGTTTGCTACAAAAAGCATAGAATAAGATGAAAGTCATGAAGAGTACAAACACTGCGGCTGTGCAAACCTCCTTATGACAACTCACCTTGGTGGATTTGAGTTTCTTTTCATACTGCAGTTTTTCACCCTCCAGGTCTGTCATTCTGTACCGCAGTTCATTAATCTCAAGAATCAAATCCTGAAAGAACAAAACGTTCATATCATTGTAGAAATAATGGGAAGCAGATTCCTAAAATACTAAGTAATACTTTTACGGTATGAATATCATTATGGCAGCTCTAAAATTCCATTCAAAGTTCAACTAAATATTCAAAAGCAGCTCCAGATAAGTTTGACTGTGTTTCTTGGAGAATGTAAATGCTTCAAAGCAGCAGCAGGGATAAAGCAAGAGGAAGCGGCTTTTAGAAGAGGAGTGATTAATGTGCGGCGAGGCAGACAGACGCTTTTTGTTCCAGTAGGGTGGAAGAGACAGCCGCTGCTACAACAATAACATTACGTGTTTGAAAGCTTTCCAACTTTGCATGGTTTCCCTCTGGGGGCAGACATCTCTAGTAAACAGATGATTGACATCTTTATGGTTTTACATATTTCGTATTTAAGGTAGAATTAAAAAAAAAGGTAATCTACTCCCACAGGGGATTTTTTTTACTTAAACTCACAACAAATAGAGCAGGCATATTTTCCATGGTTAGTTCATTTTATGCTGATGCAGACTTTTTTTCTTACTCAACACACTGCTGCTTTGAGGCTGACAGTAAAATGAGAAGTCCCTCTCCCACACAGGTGTCAGACAACATGAATGAGGGTCTGTTTGGAGTGTGTGTGTGTGTGTGTATTGAGGTGAGAGAAAGGACAGGCAGAAATAAAGCTAACTCCTGTCCTGAAGATTAGCTCACACACCTCACTGTCTCTAAATCTGTCATCAAAGTCCAGTCGGTCCTTGTCCATGGAGTTCAGCTTCAGCTTCAGGTTGGACACTTCAGAGATCAGCTCCAGCTTCTGGTTCTCCAGAGTACTTCTGCAGTGAAGCTCCTACAGAGAAAAATGATCACGGTTAAACAATGTTGGCAATGCAAGTAATGTTGGCAGTATGGGCATTTTAATGTTTTTGTAAGTATTAAATATAATAATAGAGGTTATTCAGTGCTTTGTGCTAAAGCTAGACATGGAACCCAGGCTGCCTCATCTCGGTCGTTAAAAACAATAAAAAGCCTCTAAACAGCGCAACACTTGTTGATTAGATACAGCAGCACACTGGAGAACAAGCATTTATCACACACAGCGGATGTTTGTTGACAGAAGGACATGAACTCCAATCGTAAAGTTAAAAGCCACACTCTATTCAACACATGTGGAGCATGCATAATGTGTTTTAATGGGTGGCTACTGATCCTGTGTGCAAACAGTTGGTCATGATCTATACCAGGGGTTCCCAAACTTTTCAGCCCGCGACCCCCAAAATAACTGTGCCAGAGACTGGCAGGGGGTGCTAGTGAATTGTCAACGGGGGGGAACCTCGCTGCGGGGAAATTCTACAGATGGCCAGTCTGAACAAAATGGTAATCGCCGCATTCAGCTGTTATAGGCATGCCAACTTGATGCTCTGCTCACGGATGAGCATAAAAAACTGTTAAGATGATGACCAGTATGTGTGTGTATATTTTCTTCTTTGTGGGGGTCTGCCCCCAAAAAACAGTTTTAAGTCCTGAGAAAGTCAAATAAGACGGTGTGTAAAACTACACTGCCCAGCCAAAACAAAAGTAACCACTTTGCAATAAAGTTGTGGGGCGCTGAACTGTTCTTTTGATTCTTATGCATTTTGATATATGATAGTCATTGTGAACAAGCATCTTGAGGAACATTCATCATTAACTCCTCCAAAAAATATAGTTTATTTAATAATAACACTGAATATGTGAATCATAACAGTGATTGACAGCTGATAGGAATAATATGATTGTTAATATTATCATATTAATTCAGACAAACATCGATGAGACAGTTAATTAATGTACTTATTGCAGCAGTCTGCATATATTTGGTACCCCTGCTGGTCTTTTATTTGTTATTGTTCAGTTAAAAAAAATTCAATTATGTCTGCCATCTTATATATTTCTATTTAAGGCTTTACTGATGTGCCACAATAATGTCACCTAATGTTATTGAGTTAAAATATCAATAGTGTGGCTTTCCAAGTTAACATTGATTGATATGACTGCGATTAAATCAGCATATACTTCTGCCAGGGGATGCCACCCCTCAAAATCTCCTGCCACCCTCTTGCCACCCCATGAATATTTTTGAAAAATGTCTATGCACACGTTATTATTATTAATAATACAATTTTTATTTTGTATTTGTAATCATCTCTTTTTATTTGTATTCATCTCGCGACCCCCACTTTGGGAACCCCTGATCTATACTACATATATAAACACACACACCTGTTGCAGCATCTCCTCTGTGGCATTGAGTTTCTCTCTGTGCTCTTCCAAACACAGGTCCAGGTCTCTGATCTTTTCTCCCTGAGCCTCCACCTGGTCTGTCAGCACGCTCACCTGCGTGGAACCAAGAAGTCACTCAATGCAAAAGAAAAGTAAGATTGTATTTCTACCCAACATGAATATATATTAAAAAACGTGGTTCTTTATTTTATAACTGCTAGATGGTTACCTGAAGGACCAGAGACTCCTTATCAGTTTCGATTCTGGAAAGCCTCTCCTGGTAGTGGTCGCCCCCGCTCAGAGAGATGTGCCCGTTAGACTGCAGGGCGACAGAAAATATGGATTAAAAAAGAACCATGAGAGAACTGACATTTTAAAGAGCAGACAAGGGTAAGGGAGGCGGTACAGGTAAGTTAATAATTCTGCTGATCATAACAACCTTGAAGGTTTCAGCGCCTAACACTGATCTCAGATTAAACTGTCTGTGCTGCTTTACAAACAAAACCTTACATGGCTGAGAAGAAGGCTCTCATTCACACTGCAGTGCACAGAGTGACTTACAGCATTACACAAAAACTCTGGCATTTATCTGGCCTGCAGCCCATCGCTCTCCCAAACAACGCTCTGGTTCCCAAGAAGTCAGCGTGTTCCTTGCAGCACACAGGCTGGGACGTTTACAACACTAGCATTTCATTTTGCATTCCCAGGGAATTCAGCAGAGGAAGACAGCCTATCTTTTGCTTAGCAAACAAGTCGCTCGCCTACTTACACACAGGACTGTTTGCCCAGGATTGTCTACAGTCATACAGTGTTAATGCAGCAAGCCGAGCGAGCACAACCAGAAGCAAACCAGATGTGCTAAAGCATGTTTTCAGCACATTCTGTCCAACCATCACAGACAAGACCTCCTCCACGGTTATGCAACTTCAACTGATTTAGATGCTGAAAGTGTTCCTTACTCCAGTTCCAGATTTTATCCAGATAAATCTGTTATGTGACAGAACCAATAGACTGACCTGACACCAGGCTACAGTATTCTGATGAGAAGATGTTACCGTACTTTATGATCTTCCCACTAAAGCACAGTTTTGATCTCGACTAATGATGATGATCTGATCGGTTCAATGTTTCTAATGCTGCTTTTTTTCTTTTTGACCAGATTTCAGAGTTTTATGCAGCTTGTTTCCTCCATGAACAAATCTTACCAGGTGACCTTGGAGCCACTCCACCAGACTGTCAGCTGTGGAGTCGGGGATCTGGCAGCGTAGACTTTCCCTTTCATCGGTGTCCATCAACTCCAGGACGCTCCTGAGGTCTTCCAAAAGGTGAAGTGCCCGCAGGCTGCCCATGAAGGGAGAGGTAGGAGACTGGCAGTCATACATCCCATTGGAGTAGTCCAGAGCCTTGGAGCCTGAGCAAAAGTATAAATGACGAGGCAAACATTAGGAGGAGCTAGAATCCAAAAAAATACATGTATGTACTAAATCTAATACTTCACTAGAAAATATATTCTCATGTACTTCCTAAAAACTACTGCTCTTAACAGTACAGAGTTTCGCAAAAAAGTAAAGATTTCTTGTGAAATACAAGGGACTTGACTTTTGATACTTCCCTTTTCCAATTATTAACAACGGTATGTACTGCCATCATAGTCAGACTGCTATGAAGTATAGGTCTAAAGTGAATCATGTCATTCGGCTTCACACGATCCTCTAAGGCCACATCCATTTGCGACACTAAAGAATGAGGTAATAAAATGAATTGGTCTATTGAGACACAATATAATTGGGTGTTTACATTGTATAACATAGCTACAAGCCACACAGCCTAGCACTGAAAAAATGCTAAAGCCTTTCAGACATCACGTGATGTCCATTTAAAATGTCAGCGCTGCTATAAACCATAACACTAGAGAAAGCCTTATCAATGTTGACTCAACATGGAAGCGTTATATAACAGACACTGTGCTGATTTATGCTCTTACACAGCTGTAAAAACAGGAATTACCACATGGCTGCTTAAATATTTATAATACTAAGTTTATACTTAATTCTATAGTAACGCTTTACCTGCTATAATGCCATCCATCTGCTCCAGGGCGGCGGCCAACATGTCGCTGGCATCAGCCATCATCTTTAGTCACGGATTAACCTGGAAGAAACAATGAAACCGTAAAAAAAGAGAGAAAAATGTCTCAGGTTTAAATCTGTTTAACAGTATTTTAGTCATTTTTAAATAACAAAAAAAGCATCACAATACAATGATGATCATAGCTCTAAATAATGATCTCTTGTATATAAAAGCAGCTCCTAAAAATATCTACATTGGCAGTCTAACAAGTAGTAACAAAAAATAAGAACAAGCAATCTCACATTCAACAGAAAGGAATTTTAGATTAAAAACATCCGTGATTGTTATGACTATTACCCCGCAGATAATCACAGTTTAGTCTATGGAAACAAATCCTTGTGACAGCAGCTGCTGTGTGCTCAAGATGTGAATATAAACATTGTAGGAAGAGGACAAATCAAGCAAAATACGGTCGTACTCAACTTTCTAGACAAAGAGCGCCCATGTTGGCGTTAAGCATACAGTAAGATTACAGAAGGTTCCCACCCAGGAATTACACTGCAACTGCAGAACATCCTCAACAACCATATGCTAAAAAAGCAACAGTGGCTGCTTAAACGGCACGTTTGTGGGATGGGTTTGACTGTACTGACTGAGTGATATGTCAGAAAGCAAAGATACATGATAACCAGGGGTCTGTGACAGCTAAAGGCACACAAGAGTGAAACATAAACATCTAAAAAGGAAGTGATAAATGCTCCATGCTGCATAGATCTCATGTAAATGTGTCAGAATACGTGATGAATAATGCAATACAAAATATCAATCAGGCCATTAACCGTATTGGCCCCATCAATGTCCTGCCGAATGGACACTGGACACACTGTTTGGAGCAGAGATACATTTTAGTGTCCAAGCCTTGGACATCTGCCCAGGCAGCACAACGGCCCTATTTTCTTTGGACGTTTAATCAAAAGGCTCTGCTGTATATACAGGCATGCTTATACATGCATGCACAGGCACGTCCCTTTTTTTTTTTTTTTTTTCTTTTTTTTTATATCGGCTGCCACACATCCTGGGAGTGCCCCACAGTGGGACGTAGCACCATTTACAAACTTTATGGAAACCACCCACAGACCTAACACTGTTATTTAAGCATTCCTGTGGGCACATTTTCCAATTTGTGTAAAATAAGCATGCACTAAAACATAGGATCTCCACAACACACGCACAGTAGGCTGAGAGGAGATGAGAGGAACCAGCATGCCATCAGTCAGCTCCAGAGTAAATGCTGAGTGGTTTCCAACAGTAGGAATCTGAAGGGGGGTCAAAATGCCTCTCAGACTGCTCGTCTCACTTATTGGACAAGCAGACGTACACCATGACATTTAAAAAAAAAACTAAACAGAACCCAGGCTCAAATAGTTATTTCCAAAGGCAACCATTTTTTATGTTTTGGGAGCATTAGCAGGTTGTAGGTTAGGGAACAGTGTGCTCAAATAACTTGAAGAATTTAAAAGATGTCATTTCAATGTGTGTTTCAGAGGGGACCTAAATATATCAGGCCTATGAAAATGGTACATTCAGCAGTAGGAATGCCCCATGTGTGGCATCTGAGTGACATTTGCACTTAATAGAAATACAGAAGACGGTTAGCACTCCATATTTGTGAGGACTTACGGTGTCTCGCGTCACAAACAGTCATATCAGCATGCAAAAGGGTTGTCTAAACTCTTTGGATAAAATATCAAAACCGTAACCGAAACAACCAAAAGTTGTTTATTAACCCAATTATTTTTTGTTTTGGTTTACAGTATATTCTGAATGTCTTCATACTTGAGGTGTATCAACTGCTGGTATTGTGTATGTGTGTGTGTGTGTTTTCATCAATTAAGAAATGTTGTTTTTGTATGATTTATACAATAACTTGTTTTTCTGCAGAGTTGCCCTAAAGTTTGATATTGCCCCATATTTTTTTTATTCATCGTCATGGGTAAAGTGGGTGGTCTTGCTAAAAAGTCTTCAGCCTCATTGACCTTTGTGGTGTGTGTGTGTGTGTGTGTGTGTGTGTGTGTGTGTGTGTGTGTGTGTGTGTGTGTGTGTGTGTGTGTGTGTGTGGTTCACAGCTCAGGCTAAGACGGAGCTGGCCAGTTATGTCCTTCAGGCCAATACATGTGTACAGTACACACTGAGGCAAATGTTGTGCAACAAGAAAGAGAAAAATAGTTGGAATAGACTTGCTTAAATCCATGTGATGGTTTTACTTTTTTCCAGACTGACGTTTCTTATTTTAAACTACAATCAGATTCAGGGCCGCCCAGGGCAGGAAAAAGGGCTTAAAAAGGAGCTTAAAGAAATCACTACACTCCCACAACAGATGCATAGCAGTGGTCCAGTCTTTAAAGCACAGACACATTTTGGATCATGATGACTCAAACTGGAATGGAGGCCTGCAGGGTATCCTCCTCAAAAAGCCGAGTCAGCTCTTCTCTCAAGGCAGAAAGGCAAATATGGGTAAGGTTAACACTTGGCTTACAGCAAACAGACTTCAAACAGATTAGGCCAAGACCAGACCTGCTGCTCAGAGAGCTGCTGTCCATGTGTCAATCAATGCCAAACAGGTGTAAAGACTGAGCACTTCCCAGAAAGTCCAGAAAGAGCTCAGCACAAAGAATGCCAAATTACAGAGAGGTCCACTCTGTCCTCACGTCCTGGGATGCCTCCACAGTAAGTACGTTTTGGGTAAACAAAGCAGGGTTGTCTAGCAAGCAGGCACCCTGTCTGCGCCTCACTTTGCCTAAAAAGCATTACTGGAGGAAAGCAGTAGAACAGATTGTTTAAGGCCTGCAAGAAAGGATTATATTCTTGACTAATGGATTCATTGTTTGTCTATAAAATGTCAGAGAACTGAGAATATTCACATTAAGATATTCAAGAGCACATCTTCTACAAGGTTACATCTTCCCACAGCTTTGTCTGAAGACAAATAATGAGTATAATACTTATGACTAAAGCTTCAATAATATGTGGATTCAAAACAAATCCCAAACAATTATTTTTGATAAAAGATTTATTGTTTAAGTAAATGTTTCTGTAAACATCAGGAGTTTCCATAGGTTTTCTGTTTTATATCATATTAAAAAGGGAAAATATTTGCATTTGTAATAACATTAAGTCACACCTTGGAAACCTTGTTTGACTATTTTCTGACATGTTAGGCCATTACTTGAGTAGTTTCCCTTTTTGTTGAATTAAGAAAGCATTAACTGAAGATATTTGCACCTGTATTTTCCCGTAAGTATATATTTCATCGGTGCACGCTTGTTTTCAAAGGAGACATCTCAAAAATCCCAACAAGCAAGCATCTCTCTCAAAAACAGAGTCTCACTGTCCGCCCTTCTATGAGCACCACTTACACCAACCATAAGACGCACAGAGGGGGCTTTGTTCGTGGTAGTGGGGTATTTTGACTGAGAGGCATGAGAAGACAAAGACGAGAAAAAAATGCAATGTTACGCTACAGTACACATGGCATTTGGAACAACACCTGCCTGCGTACTCTGTCCAGACCCAAAGAGCCTCAAAGCAAAACAAAAGAAAGAAGAAGCATTCAAAAAGCAATCTTGCCCTTTGGTGAAAACATCCATATAATTCATGGAGACATGCGGAGAATAATGAATACAAGGGGGAGAGTGGACCGCTATAATGGCTTTTCAAACCCGTCAGCTCTGATCCCTTCAGGCAGGGAAAAACATCATAACCCATCCACACTGGACACTACAGAGAGCTGACGTATTTCTGGTGAAAAATAAAGAAAAAGGGAAGATCGTGTAGTCCTCAATCCAGAATGACCTATACTCTTGAGCACACAGGAAATGGAGAGCAACATAGAAGCCTCAGGGCCACTTGTCTCTGAGGGGAGAAAGTGTTTACAGCAGTCATGCAACTGCCTTTAACAGCTTGTGTTTTAGTTGCACTGGTGGTAAAAAAGCCCGGGAAGAGAGGAATTTACAATCCAGACATAAATCACACAGCCTTTTGCTTTACGTAACACAAAGCAATCTACGTATAGCTTTTTTGTGTAGAAACCAGGTCTCACCACATAATGACACTTATGTGCCATGACTAAGTCTTTACCCCTTGTTTCCATGAGTAAAGCTTAATTCTTGTTTCCAGACCTCATCATCAATTTTACTTCAAACCATGGAGGCTCTGTTCAGCTCTAAAAATACTGTACCATGGGTAAGCTTCTCTTTAAACTTCATCCAAGTCTAAAAAACTACTGAAGACCTATCTTTTTACATTGGCTGTTGTTTATACTTGAGATGTGTGTGATGCGTTCTGTTATTATGTTTGTTCCTTTCGGGACTCTACGTGGTCTGAGTTTTGTTTTTATGTTAACCTTACATTTCGGCCTCATGTTGTTATTTTATTCATGTTTCTTTTGTTCTTTCTTGTGAAGCACTTTGTGAATTCTATTTCTGTGAAAGGTGCTATACTAAATAAACGTATTATTATTATCATTATTAAGTGTGATTTTGGCACTCACCATATACCCTGTCGTGCCACACCATATAAGATACATGTTATGAACATGATATGATCTTGTGACAGGGCTTATTATCCAGTACAAGTTAAAGGGTGCATGAATGTAACGGTGCAGTGAGCAGGCTGCGGTCTGCTGATTCTCCGGGTGTTTACACTCTTAGAGCTTTCCCCAGCCGCCGACAGGGCACTGCTCTCGTATAACCTGCAGCTATTTCCAACCTGAGTGAGCAGGCAGAACACATCATCACTAATTTTATACCACCAAACAATGCGGCTTATATGAAAGATGGTGTGGGTGCGAGGCTGATTGAGCCTTTTCTCTCTTTATAAACCATCAGGAACTTAAACTAAGTACCCAACAAGGCTTCTGTTTAATGGGCTATGCAGTATAAACACACTGAACAAAATATGGAAATTGACCTTGATTTGAAAAAAGAGGCAACGTGATAAAATCTTCACATTTTCTTCCTGGCTGTATGTATGCACACACAGGATCATAGCTGCAATTCATTTATTTTGGACAGCAGCACACATTCTTTTCATATTACTCACGCCTGCACAGCTTGTACCTTAATTTCACTTATTTGTCTTTGACAATGTGCCAAAAAGCAATACAACACTGAAAAGTGCACACGTGGTGCACATAGGGTTAGGTTGTGCAAATCAAAACAGCTGAAGGTTTACACACATTTGCTTTTTTCCAGAGCATATGACATTATCGTCACTCTGTATCAGCAAAACAAGTAAAAGATACTTGAGTTTTATAAGCCAAGAGCTCATTCTAAGTAAATTCTTTGGATTGTTTACTTTTGCTAAAGTAAAGACTGGAAGGAAGTGAAATAGAGAGTAATTTGGGTATCCATTAACAGCTGGACAATAATTAACATATTGAAGGAAACCCCCAGAGAGTTAAATAAGAAAACAACTTCTTAAACTATCCCACACTTTGGATGTTATAGAAACTGAAGTGTTAAACTAATTGGATGCTCAGGCAGAGGTATTAACTGGAGGACAATTCAACAGCTGATCAAATGTCATGGCAGACAGTACACTTTACACAGTTACAGTATGGGTCAGTTCATCTTGGATAACTGGATTATAGTCGGTTCAAAAGTTTGTCAGCACCACCTCAAGGCCACATCAAAACAGATGAAGTGTAGTCTAAAGTAAAAAGAGGTGGCCTCGGGCTCTGGGAGTATCTCACTAACCACAATGTCTGGCAGAGTCAGAGGCTGAGTCAGAAACCCACGTCAGAAACCTTTAACCTCCCTTTACATAGCCGGGTCCCACCAAACACCATCGTTGTGTTGGGTTTTGGTGTAAAACATTAACGTCCCTATGCAATTGTAATGTTAGGATGACCCAAAAACATTTGCTCTCGACGTTTTCTCTCCGTGCTAATGTGCAACAAGTGGAAAACTAACTAGCATAGCGTTACTAGCTGGTAAACTGTTGGGATGCTGGAAACCCCAGAAGTCCCAGGACCATTTGGAAAACAATTTCACAGCGGAAAAACTAAAAAAGTGGCCTTAACCGTTACAACATGAGACACAGCGGTCCGTTTGTTCCGAATAAACGCCAGCAACTCATAAACCCAAGTTAGAATGCATAACAAATCACAGCCAAAACTTCAATTTACCGGAAGTCTGCTCGACGAGATTTCGGGATTTCCTTCAGTTTGTTTTCTCTACTGTTTACAAAACCTCCACAATGCTCAGTTTCTGAACTTCTCCGTGCCAACCAGTGTTACCCCCGTCCGTCCACATCGCTACGCCATGATGTCGAAGTGTCAGGGCTTGTTAGTTGTTGGAAAACTCGGGACGTCACGGCTGGAAAATCCCGCCCCGCTGCGACCGGGATTGGCCCGTGAGCAGGAACTTTTTACATGACGAGAGTAGTGGTGCATTCATTGTCGCATAGGGAAGATCGGACAAATGTAATCTCAATAATAAAGTTAAAGAAGTATCATTCAAAATAGTACATATCCTGTAAAAAAAAGACACTAGAGACATTTAAAATTGATATTGACTATTCTTGTAATTTCCATGAAGAAACAATTTGTCATTAATTCTATCAGTTTTTGTATAGTTTTAGTCTGTTGTTTTCTTAACTTAACTTCAGGATGAGGACATTTGTATACACTTTAAAGGTGATGGATTTGATTAAAATGACTTTTGAATTATCTTTTGGGTAGAATGTTACATTCACAAGAATTAATTAATGGACTGACTCTAAAGCAAATTCTTTAAAATATTTCCTCAGAATTACAATAATATGACTCCACTATTACAAACAGTAAAAATCACAACGCAATCAAAACCAAATGTATTGATATTTGACTTGAAATGTTATCTTTTTTTTTCTTCTTATATTTCTTTCTTTCTTTCTTTTATGTCAATATAATGTTTGATGTTTATATTTTCTTGAATAAAGGAGATAAAAAATATATATGGAAGATCGGACAGGAGTGTTTCGCTACACAACTCCTCACTGTTGATGTCAGAGATGGACAGGACGCAAAGATTATTTTTTGAAAGCCATTCATCTTTTCTGTTTATCTGTTTGGAAACTGATAATAACAATCACATTTAACTGCAGACTGACAACCCTAAACTTGTCGACCTCAATGACGCTGGTATCTTCCACGTTTTGCTGAACATTTAATGCAGCATTCCTCAGAGTCTGGGAGCTGTTCAGAAACAAGCACATGCGACATCGAGCGGTCTAGAAGTGTCAGTGGTGGAAGTAGCATATCCACAATGTAGCCATACTACTGTGAAAAACAGTCCAATACAAATACACGTTATGAGTTCAATTGTTTTATTTAAATAGAAGTACAGACACATTTACAGTAATATTACCTCATATACAGAAATACCCTTTGTTGTTACGTATTATATCATTTGATAAAATTATTGTCACGTTGTGTTGCTGATCAAGATGAAGATGTTTCAACAACTTTTTATTTTAAAGACACTGCATACATTTTTTTATACACTAATATGTTTTGTCAGTAAATTCTTTGTCTGCAAAGTAATTAAAAGTACAATATCTGCATCTAAAATTAACTGGAAATAAATAATTAAATTACATTAAATGGAAATCCTGGATAATTGCAAAGGTATGCAGGGCAGGTGTTACATTGTGCTAGGCAGTCAAGGTAAAACAAGAGCTGTTGTAGACATTACAATATTTTTACATGGAACTGATTAAAGGGTTTATAATGGAAGTTGGACTAAAATGTCATTGTTTTATGATAGCCATACTATTTAATATAGATAGAAAACAAGGCAAATATGAATGCTTTTAATATTATCTCAAGGTTAAGAGCTACATGTTTTAGTGCTTTTCCAGATCTACAGTGTCACAGGGAGTGGAAGCTGGGTGCACAAACATCGACATCGGTTAATTTCTTTGCTTCCAGTAAATATTAAACCATACGGGTCAACCATGGGTCCCCAAAGCAGGGTCCTTTCCCGGGGGCCGCTCCACCCTCACAGTGTTGGGGTCACATTCCAGCATCTCCCTCATCCAATCATCATCCAGCGCTCCCTCTATGAACTCCTCCAGACTGATGATAGCTAAAGGCGATGAACACAGACAGAGAGAGGAGGACAGACTCTTTTTAATATCATTTAGTTCTACACACTCCTTAATTCATGCCTGCAAGGGTTGTTACAAGGGAGCAAGAGCTTAATTGGTTTTCATGTTAATTAACTACTGTCAATATCATTTTGGAACATCAAATTATAATTGTATACCTAAATAAACCACATGGGAAGAATATTAGTTGTTTTTTTCTTCCAATTTAAGTGTTATATGGACAACATTTACAACTCAAACTTCAGCAAAATATGTTGAACTCCACACCTTGTTGAGGAATTCATCATGTTTAGTAGATTTACATTTAACATGTGGACATTTCAAATGCTACAGTTTTTATTATTTGATGCATTACCTCAGTTCTACTCTGTTCATAACTTTTGAAAAAGGCAATTTGAGCTATTTTTTCAGAGTTTTCATTTTTAAACAAATTCCACATATGCACTCTTTAAAAATATATATGCAAAATAATTTCCTTACCATTATTGTCTTTATCTAATCGCAGGAATATCCTGTTGGTACATTCTTCAGCTGTAAGTGGGTTGGGTTTGGTTAAATCAGCTGCTACCCCCATCTTATTCACAGCCTGTGAACAAATGAAAACACACTGCACTGAAAGATGATGGCTGGATACATGACAAAGTGTGACACCAAGAAGTGCACACACACACACACACACACACACACACACACACACACACACACACACACACACACACACACACACACACACACACACACACACACACACACACACACACACACACACACACACACACACACACACACACACACACACACACACACACACACACACACACACCACACACACACACACACACACACACACACACACACACACCTGCATAATCTCCAGCATCTCCTCCCGAGTGATGGCTCCATCTCTGTCTTTGTCATAGAGCTTAAACGACCACCGCAGCTTTTCCACAGCAGAGCCTTCAACCAGCATGCTGATGGCCATGACGTACTCCCTGAAATCCACCACCCCGTCCTGAAGAGAAGCACCTTCATTATCATCTTGTATTGTTATATACTTCTCTTAATTATTTTCAACATTATAAAGTGTTCAGGGTTGCATTACCAAAAAATCTGGCCATAATTTTTTTCTCAACTAATCAATTAATTGTTCAATCAATACATTTATAGAGAAAAAATGTCCTATGTGACATGTGAAATATAGATCTAAAAACCACCTCAGTATTAGCACTTAAAAAGGTATGGCTTATGAGGTACCCAAGGATACTTTCTTTTAAAGTTTGTAACTTAAAATGGACCTATCATGCTATATTATAATAATATAGTGTAGGACCATACCTATATAAGGCATATTTATACTTTTTTTTTTCTCCAAATACCAAACAGATCATGCATTTTAGCCATGCCTCATTTTGCTCAATTTGACAATTTCTAGCTCTGTTTTTGCAAGGGCTGATTCTGTGAGAACAGCACCACCTACAGGCCTGGCATATGTACTACAGCGTCTCCAGCGCTTTCGAACGGCAATGGCCGTGGCTGTCTCCTCCTGATTGGTGGAGTTGGCCCAATAGCCATAGCGCCACTGTCCTGACGTCAGGACAGTGTTCAAATCTGGATCAGTTTTTATCAGATCCGTTGCAGGCCCTTTTTTTGAGATTTGGGTATGGAGGAAAATAGAGAGGGTTGTGTTTTCTGACACTTGGTGAGTTCCCTGGAACACCGGGGACACATATTCATGTATAAAAGACGTACAAAAGTGCATTTTGCATGATAGGTCCCCTTTAATGGTTGTATGCACTTAGAGTAAGTTGCGTTGGACACATTTTCAGTTAAATGGGTACCACTTTACAATAAGACTACCATTATAAAGGATTCATAAAGGGTTTATCATTAGGTTATGAATTAGGTTGTAAACACTTTATTAATCATTAAGAACCATTTATAAACCATCTCTAACATAGTTTTCATACATCAACACAGGCTCACTATTTGGCAACATGACTAAGCCTACTTAGCGAGAGTTGAGAATCAACTCAGTGAACAACAGATACCAAGGATGCTGGCTGATGAAGAAGACAAAGTAAGCTAGGTAGCCAATTTAAGGCTTAGCAGTACAGATACACGTGGGCTCACTATTTGGCAAGCAACCAGTCACAGTTGCCCTGTTTATCTCATGTCTTATAAAAGCTTATTAATGATTTATAAAGTGTTCACAACCTAATTAATAAATGAATTACAAACTATTCGTAAACCCCTTTATAAGGGTAGTCTTATTGTAAAGTGGTACCGTTAAATGTGATGTTAAAATGTCTTTGGATGTGTCAGTAAAAAAAACAATATATACTGTAGTTCAATAGGATCTCTCTCTATATATAGAATATAGAATATATAAATCTCCAAATAGCAAGAGGCTGAAAACAGCATATTCTGCCATTTCTTTAATGAATAATTACTTATATAATATTTAATTAGTTAAAGGTGGGGTAGGTAATTTTGGAGAAACCAGCTCGAGTTCGCTAGAATTTGAAAATACACAGCCGGAACAAATCTGCCACTTCCTTACAGAGCCCCTCCTCCAACACACAAGAACGCGCACATGACCAATGAGGGCACGAGATAAGTTTGTGCACAGATGGAAGGCTGACAGGCAGGTAGGCCATCCAGTTATTTTAGCCGGGCCGGCTAAAATGATTGGTCGTGCTTTTTACAGTACTACGGCTTCCACAGATGACATTTTTTTATGGATTTTTTGTCAAAGCACTTAAGATATTCATTGCTATCGGGATGTTACAGTAAGAGCATTCCATGGAATATAACAAAAAGTGTATCTCGAGCCGGTTTCTCAAACTTACCTACCCCACGTTTAATGGATGAATTAATTAGTTGACTACTTGTTGTAGCCCAATATATATTTGTTTGATTTATCAATTACAATCATCTTGTGAAGTAGGACAACTATCCCTCCAGACTTGAGATTCAAAGATTCCATTTTAAGACTAGTGAGATATTTAGCATAAAGTCATAGAATCATTTTCCTACCTCATTATAGTCCAATGTGCGAAATATCTGTTCTGCATACTCAGCTGACTCACTGCCCCCTGTTCCATTGCAGAAATGCTTTTGAAACTCATGAAGAGTGATTAGCCCACTTGGACATTCAATAATAAACTTCCTATCAGAAAAACAAAGAAACAAATGTTTTTTAAAGGAAATAACAATGTCAGTTATTGTAATACACAAGAAAACACAGAGGCAGTCTGGGTGAGGGTCAGATCTGTAGCAGGAGAAACATGTCCTTTAAATTCAGAATTAAGAGAATTAAGGTCAAGCTACCCCTATAAGCTTGCTTACACCTAGGGACAGTTCTTAGGTAATTTAATTAGGCCAAATGATTTTGAACCACTTTACTATAACATGGCAAAGTAAAGCTAAGCAGCAGTGTATCGTCATGGAAATAAAGAAGGGCTAGAAACACAATTCCACAGGAAGTACAGAAAAAAATAAAGTTACAAAAGGGCAAGTAGATACAATTTAAGATAGACAATTACATTTTATCTTAAACAATAGCATTCTACAAAACAATTATAATTGTTTTGATGTAAGTAGGGTAGTTTCATGGTCATACCCATTACATAAAACCCTTAAGCTGCATCCATACAGTTGAAGCTATGAATGTACATTATAAAGTCAAGTGAAAATCTTACCTGTACCATTCGTGCAGCTCCATCACATAAGACCCGCCTCTCTTACAAGGCAGGGTCGCAGCCTGGCCCATTCTGTGAAGGAGCAACAGCTCTGCATTCACTACTCACTTTATACACACACAATAAATCCCAGTTTATGCCGTGCTTGTACACCAGCCACTGCCTTATCACATTTGACAAATTACTCAAAGCCAATCTCGTCAAGGGGGAGGAGGGAGGGGCGGGAGCGTGAAACGTGGGTTCAGTGAACGTCAGTATTAAGCAAATGTAATTACCTATAAAGCTGGTAGCTGCGTCACAATCAACTCACTGAAGACAGAAATATGGGAGAAAAAGTGTTAAAGCCTAATTAAATGTTTGAATTCAGTGTGGCTGTTTAGTGTGGATATATGCCCGAGCTTCCTGTTGAGGGTAAACTAATATTTATTAACATGACAACCTGGGAAGACAGCCCAGACATGATGATAGTAGCAGCAATGGACAAATACAGTAAGTGCTTCCAATGGGGCCCAAAAATCAATCAAGAAGGAACTTATAAAGTGGCAGGAAGTTGTACAACGAGTCAGTGACAAGCTCCCAGAAGCACAATATACAAGGGTTAAGCTCCCAGAAGCACAATATATAAGGGTTAATGTTCTTCCTCCTGCGCAGTGACGGTTAGCTGTGTCACCACTACGTCTTCATTTCCCAGGTTTTATGACGCAACACATTTCCAAAACTAACAATAACTGATACAAAGGCGGCATGCAAGTAATCACAAAGCAGGGCAAGAAATCCAAACATAATGTTCACTTCCACAATCTACTGTGAATTTCAAAAGAAGACAAAAGCAAAACATGTGACCACTCAGCAGGTTTATCACTCAGTCACCACCAAATAAGCTGAAGTGGAAGCTTTCTAGGGAGATTACAGCCACAACATGGGAACAGATACAAAAACATAATACAAATTGGACTTCTTGCCTTTAAAAAAGACCAGCCGGTGTCTATGGCACGATTCTGTAGCTCTGCTTGTTTGGTTAGGTATGGGAGACATTAAAACTCCTGTTTTAAGCAAGCTTTCGCTTCAATCATGATGTGCGCAGTGTGCTTCAAGTCAATCCAATGGTTCAGAGGCTGCCAGGTTGTCTGAGCAGACGTGTCCAAAGGCACCTCGTTATTCAAGCATCAGAGAGAAAAGAGAGTATTCTTCGTGGTTCACAACAACCTTTTCAAGATTTCTTACTGGATAGGCTACACCTCAAAAGTCGTCCTCATAGGATGAATATAAATGGTGGACCGACACACCAACATGAATGATGGCATGGCCTAAAAGCAACACAGTTCATATGTTCTATACTTGGGAAACACAAACGTTGACTGATCGGTTTACAAATGATAGAGGGTAAGATGCACGTGTTAGAGTTGCAACAATAATTACACGAACATAATGTCTTTCACGCCAAAACAACAGAAATGGCTGTTTCCAGCCTCTCTTACATGTCCTACTTTTCTTTATTATATATATAAACAACTGCATTACTATGGGGTTGTTTAGATAAATCTAGACATTAAAGACATCACCTTGGACTTCAACAAAAATATTAAATATTGTATGGAAAATACTTTAATCTGGGGCGGTTATGGCTAACCTAACCCCAAATTGCTCTAGTGTGTATAAATTGCTTTGGATAAAGTGTAGTCTAAATATGTAATGTACAAAAAAAAAAGTTTTAATGTCGATTAAAAAAATAATCATTAGTTGCAGCTCTAACAGATATACAGTCTAAACACTAATGAAAAATACTTAAATGTATGTATACTGATTTAGCTTTTTTTCCATTTCACAGCCTATTAGACTCCATCAATGTACAACACTCATAATTCAGGTAAAAAGGTTTTTGATAAATGTAACATACAATCAAAAGGGTATCAAATAAGAGTGAGGGAATCAATGTGCCAACAGAAAATATCACTGGATTTGTGTATGTTCAAGTTCTTTTCATAACAGTCAGCAAAACAACACAAGGGCTTACATTTTTTTTTTTTTAAACGAGCCAATGCAATAGTTTTCTTTAGCTTACATTGTTTTAAAAAATATACCACTGTGAGACAAAACATTTGGCAAAGTTACATATTATGTTCTTTACCTTATGAACCCATTAGGCAATCTAATCTGTGGGACACCAACACAGAAATCATCACGATGGCTGTCAATAATTTTTTTTGTAAAATCCAAAAAACAAAACTCTACATGAGGTAAAATTGCAAAAGGGATCCAAACAACTCGTTCACGTTCTCACCAACTATAATATTACACGGCTTTTGGAGACATGCACGAGTTGGGAGTAAAAATCACACAGAAAAAAAACAAGTAACATAGCTTAAAATGAATGGAACAATAGCTCTGCATAGAATAATCCCTTAATAATCATTTGCTAGGGCAGCACAATATATTCTTTTCTTTTTTTTTTTACGTCACCACAATGTCAACTTAAAACCATCGCGAAAGACGGTTGATATTGCACTCAGGGATTTCTTTAGTTAGTTGAACGAGTATAAGTAGAAAACGTGACTTTAGATAGTAAATATTCTTTTGGTGTTCAGTTCAATTTGTTCAATAAAAGAATAATTTCCTGTCATCTTTTCCATTTCAACATGCAATCTGTTGTATTTTAGCAATGTACTGAAAGCAGCAGAAAGGCAGAACAGACTTTAAAGGTGGGGTAGGTAATTTTGGAGAAACCAGCTCGAGTGCACTAGAATTTGAAAATACACAACCGGAACAAATCTGCCACTTCCTTATAGAGCCCCTCCTCCAACACACACGAACGCGCACATGACCAATGAGGGCACGAGATAAGTTTGTGCACAGATGGAAGGCTGACAGGCAGGTAGGCCATCGAGTCATTTTTAACGGGCCGGCTAAAATGATTGGTCGTGCTTTTTACAGTATTACGGCTTCCACAGATTACATTTTATGGCTTTTTTGTCAAAGCACTTAAGATATTCATTGCTATCGGGATGTTACAGTAAGAGCATTCCATGGAATATAACAAAAAGTGTATCTCGAGCCGGTTTCTCAAACTTACCTACCCCACCTTTAATATCTGTTTATTTAACTCAAGTAATATAGTTATTCAATGTTATCACATATTTTATATTCGAAGTATAGTTGTGTGCCTCTATCAAGCACATACAGTAAAAGTACAGGAGAAAACCAGCTAGAGCTATGGCTTACCTGCAAGATTATAATGCTGATGATCAGAGTCAGAACACAGACGCAGGTGAACCACTACAGACTAATGACTAGAAGAGTATGTAGGAAAGTATTTCAAACATTGGTGTTTAAATGTGGCAGCTCTGTTTCCATTACATCCTGAGGTTCAACTTCTACCATCAGACTCAAATATCATATATCTTTTTTATAATATATTTGTAATCAACCAACATGTATTGATTAAAAGTCACAGATTTTCAATGGTTTGCTGCTCACCGTTGCCAACAGCAACTCCTTTGTGTGGCTTTTCACTTAGCATGAAGTGATTCTGTAGTGCTCAAAAATCAGTTCATGATTTGTCAACCACCAAAAGTGGCTGCTCTCCAACAAATGAGAGGTTGATAATTGATGGCAATAAATGTTAAATGTTTAGAGTTCAGGGAATAAAATCCAGGGCTATATTAGATGTATATAGAAGCGTACATACCAAAAAATAAAAATATTCTTCCTATGCAAACTGTCCCTTTTAAGATATGGCTTGAAGACATGATGTTTGCAAATCTCATACCAAATCCAGGCTTCTGGACTGTTTCTGTGGAGAGTGTTCAGATACTGACAAGAGAAAATCTCTGAGTGGCCCACCGTTAAGTGACTCTCAAAGCTCGAGGTTATGGAAGTGTGGTTTGCCGCGGTACACTGGCTACCTACGGCTAGCATCCTGAGGGGTCAACGAGACGGGACAGGTTGTCGTTCTTGTATTTTCATTAACATACAGTACCCAATCAAATGACAACCTCTAAAAAAAAAAAAATTCAGTGCAATCTTGTTTTTGTTTGCATCGTCAGGCCAAACCTTTGTTTAAATGTAGGTGGAGGAGAAAATCCCAAGTCATTTTTAATGGTGTTCATGGGTTATTCAGCCTTGTGAGAGGATGACAGTAGATGTGAGGGACAGCGTGCGAGGGCAGGCCGCTGTAAGGCTTTAGAGGCACATCCTCCTCCTGACAAGGGTCAACAGGTCGATCCCGTTCCCTGTTACAGCAGCCACACAAAGACTACACAGCTTACGTGGCAAAACATAACTCAACTAATAAATAAAAAAAGGAATGCCAAGTCTTAAGAGGGAGCATTCAAGCAGTTCTCATCACAAAAATGAGCGTTCAAGTGTTTTTCAGTGTGCTGCGGTGTCACACAGAGCAGGTTCTATAAGGACCAGTGCATCTCTTCAAAGTCCACGGCCTCCCCCAGGTTGGTGTCCGTCTCCAGGAGGCTCATGATGACCGCCATGGCTGCTTCGTCACTGCTTAGACTGCCAAGGCCCGGTCCAACCACGCTGTCCAAATCCATCTGGGGATTCTCAACTGGGAAACATTTAAATAGAGGAGAGAATTAAATACGATTCTATAAACAACTTAGAAGGGAATACAACATCAGGATCTGAAATGGTACCCATGAGAGACTCTGCTCCTGAGAATGTAGCTCCTTGAGCATCCTCCTCTGAGCTGGACTTTCCTGCAATCTCCATGTCTGTTGCCTCTCTGTTTGGCACCTAGAGACCAAAAAAATAGGGAATTATGGCGCCAGCAGCAACATGCAGGAGTTTGACCTGTGCTGGTTAGAAAGTCGCTATCATTTCCAAGTACATATAGCTATGATTGCATTACTTTAGGTTTGTTCTACATTGAAAAAAAATATTTTGCAAGACATTTTTACTGTCAAACATTTCAACAAAGCTTACGCTGAAAACCAACATGAGCTTTGTTGACTAAATGTCTCCTGATCCCATATTTGCAAACATGCATGATTTTATTAATAGTATAAGTAGTAAAAACAGAGGTCTAATAGAGGTCTATGATTTGATTGATGATAGAAATGTTTTACATATTATGCTCCCAATTTATCTGCTGCAAACTTCAATATTGTTTTAAAGATAAAAGATACACCATTTTATGTGAGTGACAGGTAGTATTGACCAAATGTTGGTACAAATGAATTTGAAGTACAAAATTGTAACTATAATGTGGGCCTACATTACCATGGACACTACACACCTGTTAGGATATAAGTCAGTTAAATTACTTAATATTGGTATATGTATCATAAATTACACTTAGCATTTTCGGACAAGAGCTGCAATGATTTGTCGACTTATATTGGCAATATGTTTTTTCTGACTTTGAGAAACTGGGATGGACATTTTAATTTTTTTTAAATGTTTTCTGAAATGTTATAGATCAAACCGTTTTGAAAATAATTGGGAGATTAGTTGATAATTAAAATAATAGATGCGCCACCGTTTTGGACTCAGGCTGAAAATGTTCAGGCATTTTTATGACTGGGACAAATGCACCAATGATCACATATTTGAATGTTCAACAACTTACATTGTTGCTGATTTGATTGTGGGGACATTTATCTTGGGATAGACTGAAAGGGCTGACGCTGCCGCTGGAAGGTGAAGAGTTCAACCTAAACCAACACAGATAAAGATATATTTTTAACTGCACAAAGTAACATCAACAAAAACTGCAGTTCTAGATTAGAAAGATGCTGGTTGAATCACATTTACACATCTCACCTGTTGGAATCCAGCAGCTCGTTGGCGATCTGGGTCCCGATGCTTCCAGCATAAATCATAGCTCCAGGTGTAGTGGAGATGCCTGGTATAACTGGAAGGGACTTCTTCCCATCTTGTAAAAAAAAAAAAAAGGTTACAAATGAAATAAACAGAAGTATTCTATGGCACAATTTGTATTGTTCAAAGCTAACACGGCAAGATAACAATCAGATAAAATCCTTAAATACTTTTTTTACCGACCTTCAGACGTCTTGGAAGTGCTTGACTGCTCAGCCTTGTTTCCTGACCGACAGGTTCGACTGTTATCACACCTAGTTTTTGCAAAAAAAAGATGGAGCGTTGATTAATATACTGCGTATCTGTCTCAGGTAATATATCTAGGTAATGCATGGAGGGACTGAAGTGTATACTCACGATATAACTGTGTTTGTTGACACCAAGTATTCCACTTCCTTGGTCCAGGGATTTACAAAACTAAACCACTGACTTTGCAGAGTGACGAAAGAGCCACTTTTTGTTTTGAACTTATAGCAGTTTGTCTCTATTTTTTCTTTACTGCGCAGCACTGTGAAAAAAAACCAAAGGTAGGATGAGTTACAGGCTGAACAGGAAAATAAACGTCAGTATGATCTGCTAGATGCAGATACCACCGTGAGCACAGGAAAAGCGTATAGAAATAGGGGCAATGCATCACAATTTTGCAACAAACTGGAATCAGATTAACAGAAATGTAAAAAAGATTGACCTTTACATCAACACTGCAGCTGTATTGTATTAAAAAAATGTAATGTAACTAGAGTGCTGCAGGAATAAATTAGTTAGGTAGATTACTTTGGATTTTGGATTATAGCAGAAAATAAGATCCAAACCGTTTACTCATTTTGTGATTTTAGAATGTATTCCTGCATTCATTTATTGACCTACATAGTTAAAGATTGTTCATCATCAAATAATAATAATAATGCATCTGAGACAATTGGAAAAAAGTAAACGTTTGAGGTCACAGAAAAATGTAATTTGCCTTTTCGGTGTCTGTCAGCTAAATGCGGTAAGTCGTCTTGGTGGAAGTACTCGTAGCATGATGTCCCGAGCAGTTCTTGGGGAAGATAACCAAGAATGGTGGTCGCTCTGCAGAAGAAGAATGAAAAGTAAAGTGTTAGTTAAGACATCTTCTGTATTGTTAAAACTGTATGCAATAAACTGTAAAGAAATTGTTTTTTTATTCAACTCCACCTTTGATCGACAAAGGTGAATTTGCCATCCATGGCGTAGCGTGTGATGAACTCTGTGGGTTTAACTCTGACTTCTCCATTAACCTGGGGAGAGGAGTGGGAGTGGACGCGTCCCACCGCCACCAGGCAGCTGAAGTGGGAGCTGTCCTGCTTGTCTGCCTCGCCCTCGCCCTCCCCCTCTGCTTCCAACTGAGTGGTGGGCCAGCTGCGCATGTAGCCCGTACAGTGGACCGTGCAGTACTTCTGGGAATCTGGAGTACACGAAGACACAAATCACAATATGCAAACAAAAAGCAAAATATAAATAAACTGTGTAACTTGACCCCAAGTGGCCACCACATTAGAGAAAATCCAGACAACTGGGACACTCCAAGCCATAGTATGTCATGTGTATGAGTACTACAGTATATTGTTGGTAAGAAAAGTTTCTCATAACTTGATCACCTATATCGCTGTCAAGTGAAATGTTTGTGAAACTTACGCTTGTATTATGAAACGTGTAGGAGGAAAGGATAAATGGAGAACTATGGCTAATTTACTGGGAAGCAGTCACATTTTGGACCTAAATTGCAGTCACTTCACACAGTATCATTGCTTTATGTTTTCCCTTCAACTCTGCCTGACAGTTTGAGAAACTGCAGTTTACACAAATACTTTTGGTGAATGGAAGCCTTCCTGATAAATTAAATATTAGCTGTTACACAGGGACCCAGATACATTTAAATCCTGAATATACAAATGTGATTTGATAAATAAACCACTGAATTGTTTCCCAACCTTTCTTTTTGGAGGTGCTGGCCTGGAATTCCTTCTCCTCTACTTTGACACAAATCTTGTTTATCTTCATGCGACAGAAGAATGAGCGGCGTGCGCCCGTACACAGCCGCGCCGCACCCACGGGGAGGTCAGCCTGGACCTGCAGACCGGCTGGAGACATGACAGGAGGGTTAAAGGTGATCTCTCCCTCTCTCGCACACACAAATACACACACACGGAGAGAGAAAAAAAATGCTTTACTTTTAGCATCTATTAGCCGTTCACGAGGGAATAATTCAGAGGCTGACAGCTGCTCCTTCACTTTCCCCATGTCCTTTGGGTGAATGTAATCAAACAGGCTCTGTCCAATCAGCTCCGCCTGTAGGAAGAGCAAACAGCTGATCAACCCGCCCTCAATACGATGTCTATACTGATAACGACAAACAATTTCCCCGGAACACACCAGGTAGCGCGTGGAGCAAAGGTCAAGCAATTTAAGATTTTAGCAGCAACAAGGGCAACAATTAAAAACAAAACTAATAAAAAAGCCATTATCATTTTTTCATTATCTGGCAGTCACAGGTGTCTGTTCAGAATTACTTTTCAGCAAGCATTTTGAACTGTAATTTGGCTTTTTTTGGGAATATATAAAAGATCTATCATGATGTAGTATAACAGAGGAAAGTAAGACTAATGTGTTTTGAACCAACAAAAATGAATTCTGTATTTATAAAGTCTAAAAGTTGTGAAAGAAATGTGGTGCTACAGATCCACGCTCACACTGGTGTGTTTTAGTCCATTACCTCTGGTGCCAAGACAATGCAAGCCACCTGGTGTGTCCGTGGTTTCACATGAACAAAGATGCTGAAGATACACTAACAAATGTAAAATTATTACCCGACTATAATTTAATATCTTCGTGACGGACTCTGAGACGAACACTATTTTCCCACGATCACAGCCCACCACAAACAGGAACCCGTCTGCAGCCTGGACAACAGAGAGGCAAAGGGTGAAATATTGTAATGCAATAAGAAAACATTGTAACTTCCTCACAGGATATAGTTACGTTTTAATTAAAAGCTACTGTGCACAACTTTTTTTATGTGTATAGTACACTATAAGCATAGTGTACTATATACATTTTACACATAAGTCTTGTTTCTGTCCCTTTAGGAGATTGGTATATTAGAGTACTATAATTTATTCTGAATATTTTATTGTGTATTCTAAGATACTCTTCTGAATATATGTATTTTCTATAGTGAATATATATGTATACTTTTAATGTTTTTTCATTTGTATTTTATTCTATTTTTAAGAAATTGTGTAATTCTTGTATAACGATTGTCAAAAATGCTGCTGTAACAAAACAATTTCCCAACCTACGATAATGTGGTCGATCCATCCATCTATCTATAACAAAAGTGTAAGGCCAGAGTATTTTATTATATTTTTATACTGTATTGATTTAATATAGTTTTTAGACTAAACTTAAATTATAATGATTGACAGGTAATGAAGTACATAACTTAAAGGGCCCATGTCATGCTTTTCCGGTTATTACCCGTCCCCTTGTGTGTTATGTAGCTTTTTCTGCATGTAAACGGTCTGCAGAGTCACAAACCCTCAAAGTACACCCTGTAGCGAGTAAAACTCTAACACAGAAAATACCTGTCTATGCTGCCCCAGAACGCCTCGTTGAAGATTTTTCTTTCTTCCTGAGTATAGTGACGTAACCATACCCAGGTCCAAATTAACCAATCCGCGGAGCTCCTCACACACACACACTCACTGCTGATTTCTCACCCTGAACTCAGCCTGAGCACACACACAAACTCACAGCCAGGCTGAGTGTGTGTGTGCTCAGGCTGAGTTCAGGGTGAGTTTCGCGGCGTCTCGCTGTCTCGCAGACCCCACGCAGCAACCAGGAAATGACCCCAGTAATCCAGCTCACACTGTCCGCAGCAGCGAGCCCCGCAACGTCCCGCCAACACGGCACCCAGACCCCACGCTGCATTCTCATCTGTTTGTCATTACTGGTGTCATTTTCTGGTTGCTAACAAACGCCATTGTAACACATAATCACTGAAGTTCCGCTGTAACGGTGGTTGACTAATCAGAACAGAGTGGGCGAGCTGACCAATCAGAGCACAGTGGGCTCATGGGGAGGGGGGGGGCAGGACCTCCAACAAGCTGTTTAGGACAGAGTGAATACACATACTATACAGAGAGGCTGTATGAGAAACCAATGTGATTTTGGAATATTGAACAATGTAAATCTATTCTAGTAAACCTCCACAATGGAATTATGATCAGTAGAAATGGCCATGACATGGGACCTTTAAAAATAAAATAAAAAGGTACTCTATTGCTGTTTTAGCTTCTCACGTGAGAATGGTTTGTTTACCTTTAGGATAAGGTGTTTGAGTTCATCGTTGGGAAGGAATGAGGGTTTGTAGTTGGCTTCAGAAAAAGAACTTGATGAACCTGAAAATAAAGACAAAGATGTTTCAATGCCACTCTATCAGTAACAACAAGTACTCACTAAGTGAACTGTTCAGATCTAGGAACATGATCAAATTGCCAACTAGAACTACTGTCCTACATTTCTACAGTATGTCTCTGGCAAACAGACATTCCTTTTCTATTAGACATTTGTGTGTAATTGTCATAATTAGCATGAATTGTTCGTTAGGTCACAGTGACTTAGAACTTCAACCACAAAAATATAATCTGTTCTCTGATCTGATCTCTTTAAATTCCACCTTCAAATAATGTGCTTTACAGACTAAACTGTTTGTTTTTCTTACAACCTGACTAATTGTGTGATGCTTATTTCTTGCTAAAAATGATGGGCTAAAGAAAATAAAGCCCAAATTGCAATAAACCATGAATCAAGTAAATGCTAAATCGGTGATATCAGGTTGGATTATCTTTAACATGGTACCTTTGAGAGATTTAAGGTGCTGCACGGCCATTCTGAGCACAGTGAGTTTGTCCAGTTTACGGGACATGGGGTTACACGTAGGGATCATGGCTGATAGTTTGTCAATGAGATTGTTCATTTTGTCCCTTCTCCTCTTCTCAATTTGGCTGTGTGGTTCCCTGTAGAGACATTAAAAGGAGAAACAATCAAGCTGCTTCAAATGAGTTTTGTCCTTTTACTGAAGCATATTCTTAAATGTGACAACGAATATCATTACAAGATTGGCTATAAAATTACAAACAAACAAATGTTATCAATGTGGTGTCAAATATAACCAACCTGAAGCATTTCATTTTGACATGTTGGTCCTCACCATCTGACCTGTAGAGCGAAAAACACAATTTGAAATATTTTTACGCCAAGCAATAACAAGCACATGCAGAACTGCACAAAATAAACAGATTAGCTCTGATAATTGTTAATTAAGCAAACAGTACCCATTGTGGCTCTCGTCCATATCTTCAATGTCCATATCCATGGAGGCAGATTTTGTATCCCTAGAAAAAAAATTAATGATTATCAATAGTAACTAGCAACAATTTAGGTCACTGGATTTAAGAGATTTTCTGTAAGCCATATTAAAGCAATCACACTACTGACTGGTTGTCCACGCTGCCCTTACGCTTCCGGGGCATCTCCATGGTTGCGGACATGCCAGCAGCTGAGGCCGGGGTCATCGGGCTGGGCAAGGACACAGAACCACTCTGTTTGTCCTCAACCAGCACATCTGCTGAAACACATCAACATAATGAGCTGTAGCTGACACAATGAGATGTAATTGTTCATAAGGAGGGGGGTTCATTTATTTTGGAAAAACATTCCATTGCATATCACACTATAAATCTGTCAGATTGCACTTTCTCTGATGTAAGCGATAAAGAGTCAAACAGATGCATTGTCATATCCAGCCTTCTTGAGCAGTGACTCACAGACAATTTTTTTTTTTACTTGTAGTACTGATACCGTCCACTAGACTCCTAGTTACGTCGCGAGCTGCGTACATGATTTCGTTTGGCAGCCAAATACCGCAAAATAATCTGTGACGCGTTTGTGTGTATTGTGTTTGTTTTCCGGGGAAATACTCACAAGAAACACCGGCTGTTATGCCTGCTGTGGCGTTAAGTTGCCGCTTGTAATTATGCATTTACAAGCTTCAAAGTTCTATTTATCATCTGAATTTGGCTAAAACAAGTTTAATATTCTAAAAACCAAGACTTTGTTTATTTGAAATCAGATGAAAACAAACTGTCACGGACCCTGCCGTGTTATCTATGATTACTATACGCTTTTCATTCATAATTTCAGCGGGAGGGAGGGGGAGCGGCGCTGGGGAACAGCAGAGTGCGGGTTGACAGGTGTCTGTGTTGACATTCCCCTTATTGTGGAATAAGGGGAATGTAGAGACAGGCTATAAGTGTCTTAGGTTCAAGTTAGACAACTAATGTCTGGGTTAGTGTTCATGACATCTTAATGGTTATTCTCAATGCACACACATTTTCCGTGCTTTCAAATCGTTTAAAATAGTTTTATTCCACTGTTAAATAACCTGTTCAATACAAACATACCACTTGTAAAAATTAAATAACATTTCTGTGATCTGATATTTGTTTAGTGAGCTTAGAGGATGTTCCCTGAAAGATTGTAAAATGTCAATGAAGATGTCAGACTTAGTATATTTGTTAATAATTACATACAATACATGGAATTTGTGTGTGTGTGTGTGTGTGTGTGTGTGTGTGTGTGTGTGTGTGTGTGTGTGTGTGTGTCAAGTGAATCTGCGGCCCCCTGGTGGCCACTACATACATTATTTGGCCCCCACCACCATCCAAGTTGCCCATCCCTGGTTTAAATAGTAGCAGGAATTGTGTTTTTGCTTTTGTTAAAGGAGATTCTTGAGTTTGCAAGATAAAGACTTCACATAGGAGATGATCAGATAATTTAAAAGGAAAATGCATTAATCTGATTCACTATGAGAAAAAGAATTCTCAGGTTAGATCCACGAAGAAAGTTGTGTTCCTCGTAGACAATTTCATGCTAAGCTAATCACCTGATGCAGGGGGAAATGCCATGGTGTGTCTGTCTAACATGCTACGGATTAGGGCTGCACGATTTGGGGAAATAATCGAATTGAGATTTTTCTGACAGATATTGCAATTGCGATTCGCGGTAATTTGTTTTTAAGCGACCCAACGGAAGTTTATTGTAAAATGCGGCCATATCTCCGGCTAGGAAGGTCGTATCAACGTGCTCCCGTCTCTAGCAACCCCGCAGCCCGAGCTACGAGTGAAAGAACTAAACTTACATGAAACTTCCGTTGCGTTGCTTTAAAGTCAAGCTTCAGTTTAAGATTCACCCTGTAATAGATGTAAAAAAAGTGATGGAGCATTACTCAGATGGTTTGTTTCACCAAACCATATAGGAAAGCTCCATTGGAAGCCATTTGGAAAAGTATTTCAAAAATACTTGGCAGGTGATTGGATCAATCTGTCTATCACCTACTATCATGGACCACTTATGATTGGTTAACAATGACTGGTACATGTGGAGCACAGCACTTCTGATTGATGTGGATGACTGTCACACAAGAAGAACAAAAACAAAAAAAACTAAAACAAATTAAAAGAATTCGCAGTGGCTTTGCGATTTGATAATTGCATCATTTCAATTTGCGATTTCGATTTAAAATCAATTAATCGTTCAGCCCTACTACGGATGCCTTTTAGACATGTGAGACAGGCAGGTTGGTCAATAATGTAATCAACATTGTTTCAACACATTAATTTTAACAATATCAAAACAAGGCCGATAACCGTGATGTTATTATTTAAAAATCTGTGATGTTATTATTTAAAAATCATGGTATGAAACGTTCATACCGTTTTATCACTAGAGTGTCATAAAGTCTAGCGAACGACACGAAACAGACCGAATGTGGCACCTGTTTTCAACTCTGCTCCACAGACCCTGTGACCCAAACAGCCATTAACAGATCAGCAACAATCTGATTTTTAATCCCCCTACCCCTGTCAAGATTGGATGGATTACAGGGTTACCGTAAAGACATTCCACTTCCAACTCCCATAATCCCTCTCTCCTGTTCCCACATGATCCTTACAGTAACTTGCTCATTTACTCAATCCATGACTGAGCATCTGCTGCACTTAAACAACCCAAAGGACTGTACTGTATGGTAAATGTTTGTTTGCTCGTCTCTAGTCTTAATATCTGTCCTTGCAAGGACAATTTCAGACTTGATCTGGCCATTAAGTATTATTGTGGCATACGGTATGCCACAAACGATACGGCGTATGTCATATGTCCATCTCAAAGTTGCACAGTAACAGCATCACGAGAAACTGATGATAGGATTACTATCCATAATTTGTATTTACTTAAAATACATGTATTATTGTGTTATTAGAGGCTTGTGTATGTATGTAGCAATAGTGAACTTTGTGGAAAAAGGTTTGAGTTACCCTTTACCATCGTTTTTTACATTCATCAAGTTAATCTCATACACACACACACTGGGGATATGGCCATTATTATCCCCAACACAAAAGCTTGATTCAATAACATTCAAGTCACCATGAAACACACATGCTGATTTAATATCACATGACATGGAATCTATTGAAAAGACGTGACTTTTCAATAAAGACATTGCTCATATTTAATCAAATATTCACATCAAAACTGAAAAAGCACTAACATCCAATAAAAAGAAGTCCGTCCAACTTGTCCAGTGAGGAAAGGCAGTTCAGGGTGAGTTTCGCGGACATTTAAATTTCATTTTAAACTGAATATTCTTGGCTTTCGGATTGACCAAGATATAAAGACATCACCAATGGACAGTTGGGGAAAGTAACTAAGTACATGTATTCAAGAACTGTACTTAAGTACACTTATGATGTATTTGTACTTGAGTATTTCCATTTTATATTAGTTTACACTTCTACTCCACAAATTGGAAGCCAATTGTGTACTTTTAACTCCACTGCATTTATTTTACAGAAGTATTTACTAGTTGCTTTATAAATTCAGATTTTGACTCAAAATAATTAAAAATACACTTTTAAAATATGATTATTTGGTATTTGGTCCATCCAACACTATAGATACACAATTAAAGTCATGAGTGGGTTAAAAGACAATTTATTGTCAGCAATAAGGAAGGTTTTAGTTCAAAAATATTTCACACTTCCAGCTTTTGCTTGAAAATATAATATTTAACTTTGACTTGAAATTGAATATTTGTACAATGTGGTATTAGTACTTTTACTGAAGTAAAGAATTTGAATACTTGTTTGCCCATGGATTAGACAAACAACATTTGTAGAGAAATTGATAATGTAAATACTCGTTAGTCGAAGCACAATTTGTGTTTATTTCGACAGAAGAAGGTAAGGTGGTCTTCGACTTCTTGATTTCTGTATTTATAATGAAAGGGCAGCTAAGTAGATGCTGAACATGTAGAGTAACGTTACAGTCACTACGTAAAGACACCAGGAAAATGATACGGCTTACCTTCAGAAACGCTTGCTTGGTCCTGGCTAACATTAGACGGTTAGGCCTGAACAGCAACACACATTAATGCTAGTTTGACACACAGTGACAATAGTTCGGTCGGAAAGCCAAGGCTATTAAAAAGTGTAAACAAAAATGTCTCGACTGTAATGGGCAGTAAAACCGGATAAATTGACCCAGTTGCCGGTAAACAGGCCTAGCTACCGTTGCTAAGCTAACGTTCGGCTTGGCTCGTTTACGTTAACGTTAGCAAACACCACACATACAATATGTTATTAACGATGTCATTTGTGACAACCCGATGTGTTACGTCAGTCATATTCTGCACATTTCGCTGGCAATATGACAAACAATGTCGTGACTCGTGCAGTGTTATGTTACATAAATGGCGTAACGTTAGAGGGCGAGCTTGCTCTACTGATCTACTGACCTAGTTTTGAAATAGCGCAAAGTTGCGGTCAGCCGGAGAAACATTGACATAAAAACACCACTGCGCTTCTCTCCTTTCTTACAAACCATAATGCAGCTCATACTATGAATCACCAAGTGTACAAACTGGTGGATATGTTTAGTAGTGTTTCAATTACCTGCCGGTTCGCCTCCCACTCTGTCACCGCCGCCAGCCGCTGCATTCCTGGCCGACATGGCTGGAGCCGGAGCCGGTGCGCGGGGGACTCCAATGCATGGAGGAGGCGGTGGACTGACTCTCCGGGATGTTGCTGTGGTAAGAGGGCGGGGAGTGGGGGAGCCGAGACGGTGGCACAAGGTTGAACAACTGCCTTGTATTCCCTAAATTAAGAAAAAAGAGTGAGAGGGCGCACCGAGGTAGCTGTATGCTGTGCAATCAGGGCAGAGTGGAGAACCGGAGGGAAACAATTATTCGTCTCCTCCTACCGGCGCACCGGAGTCACCGCTGCAGTTTCACGACTCCCCCTGCAGTGCTCCACCCAATGGCCTCTATATAGAAATATAGGCCAACATTCAGAAACTAAGTATACTCAAGTAACTTGAGTACAACTTTGAGGTACTTGTACTTTACTGGAGTATTTCCATGTAGGCATGCTACACTCATACTCCACTACATTTAAAAGAGAAAGAATGTATTTTTTCTCCTCTACATTTTATTAAACAGCTTCAGCTACTTTAAACAAAATGCATCTCTAAAAATTATTTCTCCAGTAGACTTACTCTTTAAGTCACAAAGAGTAAAATTATTAAAATATTTTACAATAAGTAAATCAGAACGTTGTTGGTCTACAACAGTAAAATGCCACTTGATGCAAAAATATGATCTAGAAGTATATTAATATTAACATATAATGGAAATAAATTCTGCACTATGATTACTTTTTATACTTTAAGTACATTTTGCTGATAATACTTTTGTACTTTTACTTAAGTAGGATTTTATATGCAGGACTTTTACTTGTAGTGGAGTTAGACAATATATGTATTGGTACTTTTTCTCAAGTAAAGCATCTGATTACTTCTTCCACCACTGCCTACAGTCTACTTGCCTCTCGGAAGATCTAAATATCTTCTTATTTAAATTTTTATTTTATTTTTGATAACAAAAAAACATTTTGTAATTCACTTCACTCGTCTTCAGGAAATGTTGTACAATATGCACGAAGATTAAAAAACAAAAGAAAAATGGGTAAAGAAAATAAATAATTATTACATTTTATATATTCTTAATCCTCCTCTTCTTTCGTTTAGTGAAGATTGACAAACAGGCTTAGTGGTGCAATACCGCCACCAACTGGACAACAGCGTGCAACAAAGATTATGAAGGAAAAAACGCTTTCAAAAACCTCTCTTGATTATTTGAATCAGTTTACAAATATATTGTAATCAATTATTTAAATGTTTTTTTTAAAGTTCTCTTTTTTTTATTTGTACCACTCCGTATTGTCTTCTTCTACGCACTCATTCGGAAGCCTCTATAACTGACGTGACCGGAAAGTTAATTAGTTTGATATTAGGAGCAGAAGTACCTGTTTCTCGCGCACTTGAGCTCCGTGTGGGGTTGAACAATATGCACTGATAATTTCCCCAAGTATTCTCATTAGTAATAATATGAAGACATAACCTAAGTGATATCACAACTGACTACAGCAGCTTCTGAGTCTGGGTGTACGGTTCCCCGGTGCGTTACAACAAGGAACACATTTTTCTTCCAGTTAAAACCCCCCCAAAAAAAACATGATGGCGAAGGTGTCTGCTGCAAGGCATGTACGTAGAATGCACTGTCATCACGTGATGCGAGGCATATAGTAGAATGCTATGACATCACGTGATGCAAGGCATGTACTAGATTAATACATGCCTTGCATCACGTGATGTCATGGCATTCTAGTAACTACAATACCATGACATCACGCCATGCAAGGCATACATAGAATGGCATGATATCGAACAGGCCATAACCAGAATTACCTTTAACTGCATGCATTGTTTTTTTTAAAACAATTAGTTGTTATTGGAAGGGGTTTGAGCACTATCAGAGACATAATGGAAAGAAATGAGCTGTCTCAAGATTCTACCCAGGATGCCCTTTGCGTTAGAGAAACAATGGACTCAAATTGCCTCTATTGGCGCATTTCCACTACACGGTCGGCCTCGGCCACACTCGGTACGGCTCGGTACGGCTTGGCCGCGTTGGGCCTTAACAGGGCCGACTCACTTCATGCTGCGCTTCCATTACAGTTTAGGAACTGGGGTAGTTACTATAGTAACGCAGTGTAGGCGGAGCCGTGACGTCATCTTCAATGAGAAATCCAGAAACACAACACAGCCGTTAGCTGTGAGCACTCAGAGCTCACAGCTCCTTATATATGTTCAGAAACTCGACAAAAGTTAAACAAGTACACACCACAGACTGCCTGTGTCATGGTGAATACAGTCGCTGCCTTATTTATGTCTGTATAGGCCGTTGTTGTGAGTGTGGACGGTCGGGGCATATACTGCGTTAGCTTAGCCAATCTCCATCTAGAAAAAACACGCATTTTAAAAGGTTTTTCCCCTGCCGTCTGTCTGCAGACTTGACAAAGCATTAATTCATGGTTTTTACTAACCGGTATCAGTATGTTGTTACTTCGGCATCATTTTGAAACGTGTATTACAATTAAATCACGGTCAAATATGTCCATCTTGTTGTAGTTCTAGCCCTCTTGCCAGCGCTCCTCTCTCTAGTTTAGCATACTCAGCCCGACTCAGCCCTGTTTGTTGGCCCCGATAGAACCACAATTTTCTAGGGCCAGAAAAGAGGGGAAAAAGTGGCCCCGCGCCGTGCCGCGCCGGAACGAGGCCTAGTGGAAGCACAACCAAAAAAGTGGACGGCACGACACGGCACGCTTAAAGCGAGCTACGCGCTGCAATGGAAATGCGCCATAAATGCCTGGGGAGCCTCCGGGGCCCTCACAAAGGGTTCCTGGAAAAGTGTGTGAACGAATCGTGGACATGTTTGACCATGTTTGGAATCTTCGTGTGGAGGAAAAAGAAAGCGTCGCAAAATATTACGCAGACAGAGTTCATAAGCAGGAGGAAGTCCTGGTAGACACAATTACATTCCTGCACTCTCATAAAGAGATAAAGAGAGGAGGACATCCCAGTACGAGTCAGGAAAGGTCCAATCAAAAGCTCAGCATATTCGACATTCAACAGTGCGATATTACTTCACCGTTGAAAAATGAGGAAAAAAATATCGAAAAAAACATGGCCGAGATCAGGGCTGAGAATGAGAGGGTACATGAGCTGTTGGAATCAGCTAAAACGTCAATTAACTTGAAGTTAAGTGAATTGAAGGAGGAAAGTTCTAGGCATTTAACAAAACTTGAAGAGGAGAAGTTGAGTTTGAGTGACAAGAATACAATTATTACTGCTGAATTTGAATCTCTGAAACATGAAAAACAGACAGAGATAGAACAGTTGAGACAAGAACTGAACGATTTTCAGGATATGGTAGTATTACGGAATGAGCAAGATAAGAGCCATGCAGATGAGCTGGTTAGACTTCAGTCTCTGACTGTGAAAGAAAACGAGGAAAATGAAATCCTGAAAATAGTTGTGGAAGATCTTCAGGAGCAACTAAAAGAGTCAAGGATGCAAATCTTGATTCAGGAGGACCTAACAACAAAGAAAGAAGGGGACATTGCTGAAAAGATACATGAGATGGTGTCAGTGACTGCCTCTCATCAGTTGGAGTTAAGAGAAAGCAGGGAGTGTTATTACGCAAACATAAGAAAGTCAGAGGAGGAGAATTTGGGTTTGAGTGAAAATAACGAGATCATTTTAGCTGAACTTGAATCTCTGAGAAAAGCAAAACAGACAGTGACAGATGCGTTGAGGCTTGAAGTGCTTGGTCTTCAGGATAATATCGGCGTTCTTATTGAGGAGAAAAACAGCAATGCACATGAGCTGGCTCGAATTCAGTCTCTGACAGTAAAACAAGACGAGGAGAACAAAAACCTGAAGACAGAAATGGAAGATTATAAGGACCAACTGAAGGATGCTAAAGAACTAATCCTGGTCGATCAGGAGTCAGTGACTGCCTCTCATCAGTTGGAGTTAAGAGAAAGCAGTGAGACAAATATCCAAAACACAAGAAAGCTAGAAGAGGAGAGATTGGCTTTGAGTGAGACGAATGCCAACATTACTGCTGAACTTGACTCTGTGAGAGCACAAAAACAGGCAGAGATAGAACAGTTGAGGCTTGAACGGCTTGATCTTCAGGATAATATCGACTCTCTGAATGCTGAGAGTGAATACAATGCAAAGGAGATGGCTCGACTTCAGTCTCTGACAGTAAAAGAGAGCGAGGAAAATAAAAACGTGAAAACAGCTATGCATGATCTTCAGGACCAACTGGAAGAGGCAAAAATGAAAATCTTGATTCAGGAGAAGCTAACAAGAACAAATGAAGGAGACATTGCAGGAAAGCAGATTGTGGAATCTGTGACTGCCTCGCTTCAGTTGGAGTTAAGAGAAAGCAGGGTGTGTTATTACGCAAACATAAGAAAGTCAGAGGAGGAGAATTTGGGTTTGAGTGAAAATATTGAGATCATTTTAGCTGAACTTGAATCTCTGAGAAAGGCAAAACAGACAGTGACAGATGCGTTGAGGCTTGAAGTGCTTGGTCTTCAGGATAATATCGGCGTTCTTATTGAGGAGAAAAACAGCAATGCACATGAGCTGGCTCGAATTCAGTCTCTGACAGTAAAACAAGACGAGGAGAACAAAAACCTGAAGACAGAAATGGAAGATTATAAGGACCAACTGAAGGATGCTAAAGAACCAATCCTGGTCGATCAGGAGTTATCTACATTGGATCAAACTGGGAATGCTGAGAATCAGCAACTGCTGGAAACCGAGAAGTTGGCTCTAAGAGAGAGAATTGCAGTTATTACAGATGAATTTGAATCTCTAACAGAGCAAACACAGGCCGAGAATAAACAGTTGGGGCTAGCACTGCTCGATCATCAGAAAAGGGAAGTACTTCTGAATGAGCAGAATGAAAACTTGAAGACAGCTCTGCAAGATGTTTAGCAACAAATGGAGGAGGCTTATCAACAGATTGCTTGGCAGCGGCAAGTAAATAAGGAGCTTAGCATTTTCACAAGCAATTTGAAACAATCACATTTGGATCTTGAAGAACAGTTAAAGTTGATGGAACTGAAAAATGACGAGAGCCTCCTGGAAATGACACCTAAAAGCTCTATTGAGACAACTCCTGAAGACCAGAGCGATACAAGCTCTATTGAGACAATTCCTGAAGACCCGAGCGATAAAAGCTCTATTGAGACGACTCCTACAGACCAGAGCGATAAAAGCTCTATTGAGACAACTCCTGAAGACCGGAGCGATAAAAGCTCTATTCAGAC